TATACATAGATATACATCCAAATACATATACAAATACATATGCATATGCATATCCATATGCATATGCATATGCATATGTATACATACATACATACATTTACATACATATACATACATACATTTACATACATATACATACATATACGCGTACATACACATACATACACTACATACACATACATACACATACATACACATACATAGATACATACATTCATACATACATATATATCCATATACATTTACATATACATATACATATGCATGTGGGTATACATATACGTACATACATACACACATGCATGCATACATACATATACGTATACGTATACGTACACTTATACAGTTACATATAATATATGTACATAACTATACATACATACATACATGCATACATACATACACATACATACACATGCATACACATACACATACATACACATGCATACACATACACATACATACACATACATACACATACATACACATACATACACATACATACACATACATACACATACATACACATACATACACACATACACATACATACACATACATACACATACATACACATACATACACATACATACACATACATACACATACATACACATACATACACATACATACACATACATACTTACACACATACTTACATGCATACTTACATACATACATACATATACATGCATACATACATACATATACATATACGTATACGTATACGTACACATAAACAGATATATATATACATACATATACATACATATACATACATATACATACATATACAAACATATACATATACATGCATATACATACATATACATACATATACATACACACATATACATACATATACATACCTATACATACAGATACATACATAGATACATACATAGATACATACATGCATACATATACATACATATACATACATGTACATACATATATATATACATATACATTCATATACATACTTACATACACATACATACACATACATACATATACATACATAGATACATACATAGATACATACAGATACATACATATACATACATATACATACATATACATACATGTACATACATATACATACACACATACATGCATGCATGCATTCATACATACATGCATGTATTCATACATACATATACATATACATATACATATACGTACATACATATAAATACAGATACATATACTTACATTTACATATATATATATACATTTACATACAAATACATACATATACATACATAGATACATACATAGATTCACACATAGATACATACATAGATACATACATGCATACATATATATATACATACATATAGGTCCATATACATATACAGATACACATACATTTACATACATACACATACATATACATACACATACATACACATACATACATACATAAATACGTTCATACAAATACATACATACATATAGGTACATACATATGCATATACATACATAAAAATACACACACATACATGGATACATACATGCATACATATACATACATATACATCCAGTTACATACATATCATCATATACATACATAGGTACATACATATACGCACATACATATTTGTACATACATAAACGTACGTACATATACATACATACATACATATACATATACATACGTACATACATATACACATCTATTTATACATACATACATAAATCCATACACACATGCATACAGATATCTTTGCACATATACATACACATATACATACACATATACATACACATATACATACACATATACATACACATATACATACACATATACATACACATATACACACATATCCAAATAAATATTTACTTACATATACACATACATATACACATACATATACACATTCGTATGCACACACGCACATATACATACACATACATATACACATACATACACATACACATACACATACACAGTCACATTCATATACACATACAAATACATACATACACATTCATTCATACATACATACATACATACACATACACACATACACACATACACACATACACACATACACACATACACACATACGCACATACGCACATACACACATACACACATACACACATACACACATACACACATACACACATACACACATTCACACATTCACACATTCACACATTCACACATTCATATACATATACACATTCAGATACATATACATGTACATATACATACATAGATGGATAGATAAATATTATTGTTTTTCCCTTTGTTTTGAGGTACATGTTATTTTCGCTTCAGCTCGGCCTTTTTGACGAGGCTCTACACCCTGACCTGGCGCAACGTGGTTGCCTGGCAGCAGAGCTCCTTCGCCCCAGAGCTGCGGGAGCGCATCGCGCCTTCTTGGGGAGAAGAGCTCGAGGTGGTGCAGGGAGGGTGAAAAATGGGAGGAAATTTGTTTATAAATTGGTTTATAGTTATAGGCTATAGGTCTCATAAACCATAGTTATGGGAGTTATAAACCAACTTAGCTATCCGGGGGGGCCCATATTCTAGGGATTTCTGATGTTGAAATTATACCACCTATAAAAATTGTGATGACTGGCAGGGAATGGTTTATTATTGTTTTACCCACATCAAAAACGTTTTACCCACATCAAAAATGAAATCTGGTTCGGTGGTTACATTTTTTTGATCGAACTTATAGGCTTAAGTTTGGGATTCTGGTAAAATTGTGGTGGGTTGTTTGTCCCCGGGAAGACGAGAGAAACATGTTTTTTTCATGAAAAATGGTGGAAAATGACCAGCATGGGGATATCTAGTCGCGATATAAAGCCAACCATTTCATCTAACTAGGCCAATACTAACTTCGGGGATTGTCCCAGAAGATTCGGGGAAAGTGAGAACGACTTAGACATGCGGACACGACACCCAGATCTCTGACGATTTTAATATCGGAAATGATGAACAACCAATTGCAGGGTGACACATTTTCGAAGAAAACTAAGCATGTGCCGATTTTGTCACAACAAAATGATAGTTTGATATATTTGTTATTTAGCGAATTCTAAGGTAGTAGCACATCGCCAAAATTCAGACTCAAAATAGTTTTAGCCAATGAAACTTGCCCAAATTCAGACACGACATCCATGGACATCCCAGTAACTTAACGCGCAAGGTGCATGAGAAGTTAAAACCGGAGAACATGCGGAACTACGCCCGATACTCCGTGGCTGGGACGAGAGGACCGTTGGAGCCCCAAAAAATACTGGGTTCATACGTTCTGCAGGGGTCCTGCTTAAGGCATAGAAACGAGAAACCTCTAGACTCTATTATGAATTCAGCACTTTATTTGCCGTATGTAATACGTGAGGAATATGTTTAGTATACATCATCAATGCAGATCGGGATATCAACAACAGGGGTTTTGACTGGCAAACATTGGGGCGTACTGCAAGTGAATGGTCAGCTGGGCAGTCAGAGAACAGAATGGATGTCAGGGTTGATCCCATCCCCCTTACATTCAACACCAACCAGTGGCCCCAAATGTACTAAACAAGGGTTTGAAAGGCGGTATGGGTATTTGATATCAGGCAGAATCAAATTACTATTACTGTACAAATTTTGACCTAGTTTCAATGCCACTTGGTGATCAAACACAGCAACGGTCAGTTTTAAGGCAATCACGAATGGAATCGGCGCCGCGCAAACTGCGTCAGGTGTGCGAACACCAGTGGAACGCCTTTCACTCGACCGCGTCGCTGGATGCCCTGAAAAATTGGACAAGCGAAGTCGAGGAAACTGGGGATGATGAGAATCTTGCATGTCCGCTGATCTGTACATCAAGGCCTGAGTCAAACAAATAGTTAGAGAAATGCTGGGCTGGTCATGCTGTGAAAGGTGAAAGTTCTGAAAGTTGGGACAATGAACTGGCAACGGCTGATGTTATTGTTGAGTCGCAGGAGTCAATACGGCAACTGCATAATGAAAACCCGAACAACGGGTACCCTCTGGTAATGACTAACATAGCGAACTGGAAAGATCCACCATTTGTAATGGGAAAATCCACTATTTCTATGGTAATTTTCAATAGCTATGTTAGTTTACCAGAGGGTAACTTGTCAGCGTCGGCAAGCCGGAAGAAAAAAACAGGAGCGAGTCTCAGGCCTCCGCGTGGGGAATCACGGAGGAATTTCGCCAACATGTACACAAAAAAAGACCCTATACTAAATGCAGATAGATATACTATACAAATTATACATTACATAGAACATATTTACGGGTAGTTTTACTTATATGTATATAGCTATAACATAATATAGTATAAGATAATATGATATACAATCCTCCCGGATTTCCTCCAGGACATGGTGTACGATATGTCACAAGACATACACCCTTTTCATCTACAAAAAACATGATTTGTTTCTTGCATTTTCTACGTAGAGAAAGTGCATTTTGCCAGACCAGAGAATGCTTCAGGTTCAGAACCATTTTCACCCGTTTTCTAGATGGTCTTGTGAGGTACAACCGGTCATTTTGTAAATAAAAAGCAGGACCTCTAGAAAATGGCGAGCCTATCGTCAACCTCTAACTTGGACACGGATATGTATATATATATATATAGATATCCAGACATATATGCATATATATATATATATGCATGAAAACATATATGATTATAATATATATATATATTACTGTACATAGATGGACTTGGATGGTCTTGGATAGCCGTATAGGTATGGACATATACTTATAGACGGATAGTTAGAATTTTAGATAGACCTAAATTCTTCTTAGATCGAAGTAGATAGGCCTCGATGGGTATTGGTTGATGAGTCGATAGATAGATACTTAGATAGATAAATGGACATGTGTACATATATATATATATTATATATTCATAATGTCCGTGTGCGATTTACAATTCTGAAAGTAGCTAAACTATGAGTAGAAAGACAACTATTGAGCGAATCAACAAAGATCGCCATGCACCACACCGTCATTAGCATCTAGTAGTGTATGAATTCAAATAATCATTAGATTCTAATAGATTGACTCACAGTACTTGTAGAATACAATAGATGTGAACACATGTAATTATTTATTCAATTATAGATAGATAGATAGATAGATACATAGATAGATAGACAGGTAGGTAGATAGATAAATAGAGAGAGAGAGAGAATCAGAGAGATAGATTGATAGATAGATGGATAGACAGACAGACAGACAGACAGACAGATAAATAGATAGATAGATACTGGATGTGTCACTTAAACATCAGTTTTGAGTTTTGCTCATTTTCTGATGCCGGTTCATCAGCTGTTGCCCGCCCTTGCGGTTTCCGCCACGTGGCCGAAGGTGCATTGTGGCAGTGTTGATCGGTTATATGGGATTATACTACCTGGTCAAATATGGGGAATACGTACTATCCAACCAGTATAATATGTATAATGGGATGGGGACATTTTTTCGTGACTCATATGAAATACACCACTGATATATGGGATATCCCCCGTCATACCTGGCTTCGAAGCCATTAACTGGGATGTATATATATATATATATTATATATATATATACACATCAGAGGACCAAAGCGGATTAGACCAGCACCTCGATAAAGTAGCGGCAGGCAAATGGTAAACAGACATGGCAAACTTGATCACTGTGAAATCATCATGTTGAAGTGGACAATCGAAACTACAGATGGATATAGATCGGGGATTCGGCTTTGCCCAGGAGGTTCACAGAAAAATTAGCATGTAGCAAATGAAACACCAGATACAGAGTCGGTAATGTTCCGTCCTGATTTGTGCGTGCACCCCCCAAGCAAATGCTATACCCTCTTTAAAGTTGAATTTTTCATCCTACATTTAAATAAGGATTTTAATTGGCGACAATTGAACATGTTTTGTTGTACTTGTAATACTTGAAGTGCTTGTAGTACTTGTAGTTCAGCATGTTGATCGCGTTACCTTTTGCACCTTATTTTTTATTATAGGTGTAATAAGAGATAGAGAAAGAGAAAGAGAGAGAGAGAGAGAAAGAGAAAGAGGAAGAGTAAGAGAAAAAAAACATTGCTTTTGTAAAAAGTTCTCCTTCTCTTGGCTCCAGGATCACCGGAAAAGTTTGCTGTATTTCCGAACCTTTCAGAAGGTCCAGTCCCTTGGAAATTTCTTGAAAAGCTGTTCTGAACAATGTTTGGGTTTAATAAGCGATCTGAACTTTTTGGGAAAGGCAGACAGATTGCAAACAGTTTTTTCCAGAAAAAAACATGTTAAGATTTTTTTCACGCAGACAGTTTTTGTTCGACCAAAAATATGGTCTGCCAGAAAAAATGCAACAATAGTGAAACTTCAATCTAATCATGGGTTCTGAATAACTTGGAAATTCCTGGCCACAATAGCTGGCCTAGCTACTAATTAATCAGGATGCAACATTTATTGTAAGATAACTTCAGATCAGGAACGCAAATATGGGTTGCACGTATCAAGCTACCCAGTACTACCCAGACAGAAGGTTTTCAAAAGTGGCCCCACTGGGCCCATAGTGTGTTTGATGCTTCGCAGTAGCTGCTTTTATTAACAAGAAATGAGATGGGGAAACCCCAGATGACTGGGTGTAATGTTTAAGAAACTTGTCTCCAGGCCAAAAGATTATGTTGACAAGTCAACGTGATTCAAGAAGACATGCATGAGTTTTGAAATTCTTCGCTGGACAAGTCACTGATGTTTTTTCGTTGCTGAATGTGACAGGTGATTTGTGTGGCCATGTTTTTTTTCCTGCGCATTTGCGGCATGACGTTTGCGGATATATGGTCCAATGATATCCAACGTAAGGTTGGTGTGTTTTTACCGTCCGGGAACTGGTTCCGCTTTCAGAAGGATACGCAGAACCTATCAGATTCACAGAATCGGATGTTGGGAAATGTTGCAGAAACCCCTAGATATTTCCCTTTATTATAAACATAGTTTAATGTATACCCTCTGGTAAACTAACATAACTATGGAAAATCACCATTTTTAATGGGAAAACTCACTATAAATGGCCATTTTCAATGGCTATGTTAGTTTACCAGAGGGTATATGTATATTTGATGGTAAAACACGGTTTCCAATAGATTTTCCCCTAAGACCCTAGTTTCCCGACCTCACTGATCACAGCAACGTTCCAGGCATGGCACTCAAAGGCCAGCGCTTAAGGCGACGGCCTTTTCGTTTTTGAAGAACGTGTTGCCCCAGAGTTTTTTTTGAAAGATGCAACAAGTTGCCAACAAAGACGCTTGTTCTTTTCTGTTGCTAGGAAAAACGATGACAAAAGAATAATTACTAGTATTTCATGGGAATGGGAATTGACTGCGTATTGTTCTAGTTGGTGGTCTCGAACTTCACCAATTGGGAGTTGACAAAGCAAAAGGTTGTTCATCGCCAATAAAACTGGGAAGCCATGTTTATGTTATTCCTATCCCATCCCTAAGATTAAACGCCCCCCCAAATGGGGGATTTTCCACACGTCCCAAATAGGTTTGAATCCCCTACTAAAAACTATGGTTTCTGCAGGGCAAATGGGTTGAAACCACCAATTCCTGCCACCACTGCGTAATGGATAGGGACAAGGAAGTGCCATACATGGAAGACCACCAAGAAATAGCTAGGGAAACTAGGAAATACGATGCAACACAGGTACATTGGGAACAGCTGGGAAATTGGTTCAAAATCAATTTGGAATAGATAAGGAATATATTAGGAATAATTTGGACATATCTGAGAATCCACTAAAACATCATGCGAAATTGACAACAATAAGGGAACCATGGTGAAAAGAGTCAGGGGAAATAGACAAAACTCTACGGCGAACACATCAGAAGTATCGATCTATGGTGATCTATGCATGCATGCATATACAATATATTATTATATAATATCATATAATATTATATATATACCTGGTAAATATGCACCCTAGAAATTCTCAGTGCAAATTGAAATAACTAGTTTCGGGTTCACTTCGTCTAATTTCTAGCACGAACGCAAAAACTTAGATCTGAACGCTTATTCTTAGGGCAACTGTGAAACAGCAAAAGGCAACATTTTGTTTCATTCGCGAACGGGCAGCGAACTCATTCTGAACGCATTTTACACAGGTTTTGAACTCATTTGAATGTACAGCTACGCTAAATTGTTGCCCTTTTAGGATGGGTTTGAACGGGTTCGAACGCATCTCAATGGGCTTCAACTCGATCAACAGTTTGGAACGCATATTCTTAGAGCGCCCTAAGAATTTCTAGGGCAAATGGCAAATAACTAGTTAAGCAGTTTTGCTCAGAAATTCTTAGGTTTCAGGTTTAGCAGGTATATATATATATATACTATTGCTTTTTTGTTTGAATTTTACTCTGAACGCTGGCCGATTCATCTCCCATCGTTTTCTTTTATGTTATACCAGTAGTACCGCACAAGGCGGTGGCGGAACTTTCAAAAAGAGGAAACCTATAGGAGAAGTTGGTTGTTGTGAATCAGGGATGGCAGAGCGAAGCCACTGATTGACCGAAAGGTGGTTGGAGTTGTGTTTGCTGGAATGGTTGCAATGGTTGCAGTGGTCACCTCACCCACAACTGCTGGATGTAGTGTGATGTACTGCAACTGTAGTTGTAGTTGTAGCGTAGTGGAGTTGTAGTTGTGGTGTAATGTAATTAGTGTAGTGTAGTTGCAGTCATATGGTTGTAGCTGTAGTTGTTTTGTAGTTGTAGTTGTAGTTGTTGTAGTTGTAGTTGTTGTGTGGTTGTAGTTGTTGTGTAGTGTTGTAGTAGTAGTAGTAGTAGTAGTTGTTGTTGTTGTTGTTGTTGCTGTAGTTGTTGTAGTTGTAGTTGTAGTTGTTGCTGTTGTTGTTGTAGTTGTTGTTGTTGTTGTTGTAGCTGTAGTTGTAGTTCTAGTTGTAGTTCTAGTTGTAGTTCTAGTTGTAGTTGTAGTTGTAGTAGTTGTTTTTGTTGTTGCTGTTGCTGTGGCTGTTGTTGTTGTTGTTGCTGTTGTTGTTGTTCCCTCGGACCCTTTGTTACCGCGCACCGTATTATGTTTTTCCTACTTTTTCCTCTGTGTTTTGCTGTTTTTCCCCTTTTTCATTGCGCAAAAAATGCAGGATTTTTTGCGCTGCTCTTCTAGGTGGGGGTTTGTGGGTTTGGGGGTGGGGGTTTGGGGGGTGGGGTTTGGGGGGGGGGTGGGTTTCCGGAGGGGTGGGGGGTTTCGGGGGGGGGGGGGCATAATAGCGTTCGTGTGTGTGTGTGCTGTCGTTTCGCCCTTCCCTTTTTTTTATAACGGTTGTAAGCGGTTTTTTTTCTCTGCGCCAAGACGTTAACTTTTTTGTTTGGCGCGTTTGGTTTTGTTATTGTCCGTGCTGCTTGGATCGTGTCCGTGACCTTTGGTTTTTTGGGGGGTGGGTTTTGAGGGATTTGGGTTTATGTGTGTTATATGTGATATAGGTATCTATGATATCTTTGGTATACATGATATCTATGTTGTTTATGATATGTATGATATATATATAGATATATTATATACATACATATGTGTTAAATATGATGTATATGGTATCTATGATATCTATGGTATATATGATCTCTATGTTGTTTTTGATATATATGATATCTCTGATACATATGATATATATGGTATCTATGTGATAAATAAATAAATATATATATATGATATATATGATATACAGAATTGTGCCATGATCCACGCCACAAGTTTGATTTGGACAAAGATCAAGCGTGGCTGTGGACCTAGTTGCGAAACAACGGCAGGCGTGTGGAAAAAGGCACTGAACGCCACCGTGCCATGGGGATTTTGTCCCTTGCCGGCGCGCGGTTACAGGGCGTCCGACCGTTGTTGTTGCTGTTGTTGTTGTTGTAGCTGTTGTAGTTGTAGTTCGAGTTGTAGTTGTAGTTGTAGTTGTTGTGTAGTTGTTGTAGTTGTAGTTGTTGTTGTTGTGGTTGGTGTTGGTGTTGTTGTTGTTGTTGTTGCTGTTGCTGTTGCTGTTGTCGTCGAAGTTAGGGTAGTTAAGTTAGTGAAGTTAGTTAAGTTAGTCAAGTTAGTTAAGTTAATCAGTGTCTACTTTTTCGACATCTTCACGTCAAAAAAAGGCTCAAAACCCTCAGTTTTTTACACTTTTGACTTCGAAATGTGCTTCGCGCCACAACGGCGTGCACTTTTTCGACACTTGTTCGACATCTGAACCTCCAAAAGTGGTCCCAGACCGTCAGTTTTTAACACTTTTGACTTGGAAATGTGCTTCGCGCCACAACGGCGTGCACTTTTTCGACATCTCAACTTCCAAAAGTGGTCCGACAATGGTGTGTTTTGTACATTTTGACTTGGAAATGTGCTTCGCGCCACAACGGCGTGCACTTTTTCGACATCTCAACTTCCAAAAGTGGTCCGACCATGGTGTGTTTTGTACATTTTGACTTGGAAATGTGCTTCGCGCCACAACGGCGTGCACTTTTTCGACATCGCAACTTCCAAAAGTGGTCCGACGCTGAGGTGTTTTGTACATTTTGACTTGGAAATGTGCTTCGCGCCACAACGGCGTGCACTTTTCTGACATCTCAACTTCCAAAAGTGGTCCGCCGCCAGTTTTTAACACTTTTGACTTCGAAATGTGCTTCGCACCACAACGGCGTGCAATTTTTCATCGCTCCTGTGGCCAGCTGGCTCCGCACCCGCCGCTTTAGCGAGCCTACTTTTCGACCCTCCGGAGCCACAAATCATTGGAAAAACACAGTGTTTCGCGACTTTCCTACCTTTTCGCGCATCTGCATCTTCTGTCTTCTTGCTCTTTCTCTTCTGATCTTCTCTCTTCTAATCTTCCTCTTCTCTCTGCCTCTGCCCTGCTTTTCATCTCTCCATATTGTCGGAAGTTTGACTTCTAAACTTCCTTCGATAAATATGTGGAGATGCCACAGACAACAAAACCTTTCAAGCCATGCGATGGAGTGAAACGATGCCAAGCTGATGCCTATAATACATATATACTTGTATATATAATATATGTTTATATATATATATATACATATTCATACTGTCCCGCTCTGTCACCACTCTCCAGTACGACGCCTCATATTTGGCCCTACATGTCATAAAATTGTGAACAACCAAGCGGACTTAGTATGAATTATTAACCCTGGTGATTGTACAACTTTGAACTTCAGCTGGGTTGTCGCAAACAAGAAGATCATCGAACCCGCCAAGTTTCAAAGTTTGTTTAAACAGAGGTTTGCCCCAGGCCTCAGACTACCCTTTGGTCGTCTTGCCCTTCGATTTTTTTTGCAGATAGTGATGGTAGTGATCCCAATGCCACATTCGCCAAATGAGAGGTTAGCCATGTCAAGCTGCTGTGAACACCTGGGTAATTCGGTAAACCCAATGCCATGAGCCCCGCTGGTCAGATCCGGATGGCTAGTCCTGCCGCTGGCATGGCACCTTTGCTGCAGACATTGCTTCGCAGCAACAAAACCCCTGAAGCTTGGGGAAGGGGGAGGTGAATGGCTTCGTAAAAATGCAGCAAAAAAAAATGCAAAAAATGGTTCATGATTCAACAAAAATGCCGCAATATCCGAATATCCTATATATTTTTGTATTTTCCAGTTTTCTAACTTTTGGGGAGGGATTCCATCACATTCGGGTGGTCAGTGGCCGCCCCAAAAGGTAATTTGTGGTACTGCTTGAGTCTCTTCAGGGATTCAAGATGATGAAATGGCAAATAATGGGGTGCATGCCCCATTTTCAGACACACCGGATCATGCCTTTGCATCAGCCAGGGCATTCTACAGCTTGAGCTTTGTGACGCCCACAGGTCCCACTGAGAGGCTGGAGCGCTTTTTTTTTTCATTATGGAGCCCCCAGAAATAGGGTCCGGAAGCTGACCGGTTTGTTGGTTATGGGTGGATATGGTATCTTGATATAGTTTGATGCATTTTGTGGATTTGGTGGGTTCCTTGTCAAATTTTGCTGGTGTAGTTTGATGGAGAACATGATGACAAGCTGTGCCAGACCTGGGAAGGTGTAAGATACATGGAAACTCCATGTGTCCTTGGAGATGAACCTCCCGGTTCGGTTGGTTGATGTGGATGTTCATCCCCAGGTTACAAGAGGTATGGATAGTATGGACACCCATTCCCAGTGATCACCCCTTACATAAAAAAAACCAAAGAGAGGGACATCGAATTACATAGAAGTATCGGGAAACCTGAACATTCTGAGTTTGTTTTTTTGATATGTGATATTTGGGGGAAGGGAGTAATCAATATAACAGAATACAACAATCAGCTTTACTACAGCCACAAATAGAGAAGTTGAAAACTCAATATGGAAACCGAAAAGGAAATATTATATTATATATATATTTACTTATAGTATGTTTATAAGATACAAATGGATTTATGAGGTAACACTCATCTTTTCCCATCCTCAAACCTGACCTGGTCATATATCCAGGCTTCAACTCGTCCAACCCGACGCCGCGAACGGGAACCGGCTTTACGGCGCGTCTGGGCGACCTGAGGCGCCCTGGGTAGGGATTGGGCTGGTGTTGGTTTTTAATTGGAAAACATGGGGGGGAACATCAAGCCTAAAAACAAGCTAAAAACCTTACAAAAGATGGAACACAATGGAAACTTCAGGGAAAACCATCCCAACTTCTGTGTTTTTCTGTGCCAATTATGAGGCTACCGGATGATTCTCGTTGTGGCAGAAGCATCAACGAAATCCTGAGGATTCGCCAGGTATACTGGAGATATTTGTTTGAGTACCCCATAATTTCCCTAAATTTTCAGTCAAACCAAGATTTTGAATCAGGGAAACATCCGCAAATGTTCGGATGGTTCCCACCTTCCCGGAGGTTCAAAACCAACAGAAACAGGACATGTTTTTGGCTGAGCACTTATCCTAAAGTTTCCTAAAGGCCTACAAAAAGGTCAAAAGGTGCGGCAAAAACATGCAAAAACTGCCTAAAACATCGACTTCCCTTCGGCGGGACGGATCAGACGGTTTACACGTCCCACTAGGTTTTGCGGCAACAGTTTTGGCAGAGGAGATGACCCAAATCACCAGAAATTGACCCAATGGGCCAGCGTTTGAGGATGTTTTGTGTGAAATAGGAGATGAATCATTTTGCCATCTTGTTCGATCTTGTTCGCTGGTTGTCACATCACGACAATGAAAGGACAAATTGACGTTAGGATGTCCATGTGGATTCTTTTAGGTGGTCCACATGCATATCGAATGTGAACATCTATCAACAAATTGGTATGATTATTAATTGCAGTGATTTTTTAGAGGGTTGACCGCTTTGTTTGATTGTATAGCCTATAATGCACTCGTTCATGTTCAACCATTGGATACTATACTTACTTATTTTTAACATTTGTATATTGGTTTGTCTGAAAAAAATGTACCCTTAAGTGTACCCCTTAAAGTTTGATGGGTTTCATCATTTTCTCATTTCAGAATAGTTTTTGGGTATAGCCCATTTTCAGACACAGTTTTCTGCACTTCGGGATGGTTCAACTATGAACGATCGATAGGCACCAACTGCATCATTAATTTAGGGCTGATTGCGTTTCGGACCATGTCCATTCAAACATAGATAACATATGATAAGCGATTTTTGCCATGGACTCAAAGATCATGTTCCGCAGAAATGCTTAGTTTGTCCCATTCGATTTGGATGTCATTTTCTTCAGACAGAAAAACGGATTTCATGGGACCATGGATTCCCATCTAAAAAATATGGGGATGGGTCAAAGCCTATTACCATATGACTGCGGGAAAAAATATGGGCTATGGATCAATACCTATGAAAATAGCATTTTTATTGGGATGAACATCCATAAATCCCAGCTATTTTGATGTGAACTACAGGGGTACCAGGGTTTTGACACACTGCCATATCATTGAATATCCATTTACCAGCTATGATAGGGTACTCTCCGGGAGGGTTTTTTTCGGCGTCGCCATTTGGATTTCCCATCCCCCAGGCAGCTTCCTCCAGCATTTTGGCGCTCGGCTTGACCGCTGTCGCGGGAGCCGTCGGAGTGCCAAGAGACCGATGCCGAGGTTGGAGGTGTGCTGCCATGGGGGGATCCCAATAGCTGGAATGGGAACTCCTATTTTTGAATGGATGAGTTATAGTTATAGTGGGTACCCGGGTACCCCCAGCCATTTTCGGAAAGCTCCATGACATGTGATGATGAATTTTGAATTTGTGGCAAAAACATCAGCTGTTGTATACTAATAGATAATAATATATACTAATATCAAATGTGTTGCCATCTCTATGACTTTATATAACATCCCTATTTGGGATGGCCTGGTAGTTTGGTTTAGGGTTTGTTGCAATGTCCTTAATGAACACGGGATGATTCCGGCCCCGGGTCAGTGGCATCTTTGGGATGTGTGGCTCATCTGAAATAGTATAAAATCTAAAACTTGTCCTGCTTCCATCCTATATTAATATCTGTGGATGTCTTTGTGGTCTCTGCAATCACTACTCAGCTGTTTCATTCCTTTAAGTGGGGACATCCAAATCATAGAGGTTCGTACTGTTTATATTTGCCAAATGATTATCATGTTATCACTTGGATATCTGTCCATGTTATTTTCATTATTTCCTTAGTAATCCAATCCTATCACCCTAATATTGAATAACGCTCTAGAAACTCTAGGTTGGTATTGGATGTGTTCCTCATATCGGGCATGATGTTCCTAGGTAGACCCACCGATTACCCTAGCTTGTCATTTTCACGTAACCATGGAACATGGCCCATTTAGTTTGATGATTTACCGATCTTAAACCTTGTGATTTTCTATAGTTATGCTAAATTATCAGAGGGTGTGCAATCCCCCTTTTTTGTTGGTAAAAAATCAATCAATATCCAATATAATATATTAATAAATTTCATCGTTTCCACTATACCCCAGTATACCCCAGAGGGGACTTGAGGCTGTTCATTTTATCAGCCATGCCATGCCATGCCGCTTAGGTGAGCGCGAGAGCTGGAACAAGGGCAGTTCGCCACGTCCCAAGATTTGTCCGATGGAAGCGTGTCCAAGCGACAAGAACATGGTTTCTATCATGTTTTATCAACCAAAAACAGTGGGTTGACTGGGGTTGACCAACCAACTAAAACTGCAGAGCAAAAATCGGAATTTCATCAGCACTGGAGGATAAGTAAATTGGCAGGATCTGGCCGACGTTGGCAAGATGATGCTTCAGAATCCGAACTTTGTAAGGTCATTGAATTGCTATAATTCAGCCCGAACGTGGTACATCAGATTTCTCCGTCCTAGATTTTGAAAGAACCAGCAAACAATAGTGGCTCAAAATCATCCAATTCTGGAAAATTGAATGGTGTGATTAGCAATTTTGTGGATCCAGTCGTACCACATTTTTTGCAAGAAACACGGTCTTGAACTGTGTTAAATGGAAACAAAAACGGAGGGGAGGATAAACACCAGGCATAGCACGTGCCACCAATCCGCCCAATGGGAGAAATCGGCCAAAGGTAGAAGAGCGGAAGAGAAAGAGGAGCGACTGAACGTTTTTCTTGATGGACATTTTGTGGGGCATGGCTGGTGGGTCTTGGCCGTGTTCTGTTTTTCGGCGATGCTGCAAGTAGTTATACAATGTTATATAATATATATAATATAATACAAATATACATATATATATATATCAAGGATATTTTGAGGGAAGATAGGGAAGAAAGACTGCAGTGAATCATGTGTTGTTTTTCTGATGTTTGATGAATTTGATCAATACTGAGTTAGCAAGAACCCAGCCGTGCCATGGCCAAGTTAGGTAAATTGCCATTTTTTTGCGGGGGATGGTCATCAATCCACCAACAAGACTTTACATATCCATCATGTTTGGATCCCCACCATTGGGGGAACCATACCACATGAATCCCATGTAACTTAACCATGGCACACAGCCAAGAAAGAACGGAACGAACGGGCCTGGGAAAATCAGAAGGGCTGGGCCAACTGAGCTCCGTTGGCAAAGTGTTGAGATTGTTTTGTTAGGAGATGAACATCCATAAGTCCCAGTTATTTTGATGTTCCCCAGGGGTACAGTTGACCCATCCCCAGTTGACAGGTCACTTTCCCGTCCTGACCATTTTTGATCAACAGCCTACAGGTCATTACATCAAAACCCCTGTTGGTTGATGATTAGTTGGGGGATTATATTACTCAATATATTGGGGATTATAAGAATCCAAGAACGGGGAATCCCTATAAACCAACCAGTATGAGGGAATGATAGAGGGATTTATTTCACACTGATCATTTCGGCATGTTCTATTTCCCCCTGATTTGGGATGCTGATCCATGTCCAAGAATTTCTTTGAAAGAACTAAAGCTCCAGAGTTGTGGATCAAATGGTCAAATCCATGGTTTCATGGCGTTCATCACCATGTGCCGTGAGGACTGGACCCTGGACTTTGTCTCCAAGAAATTCGCCCCTGAGGTCAGGATGTGTTTTTTTTAACGCCTTGGACCGCGGACCAATGTCAGAAATGGGGGATCCCCAAAATGCATGGTACCCCATGGTACCCCCCATTTTAGGAAACCTCCAGTTGTTTCCTGGTTTCTGCTGTATTTCATGTCTTTTATTTGCTGATGTTGGCTGAGCTTTGATGAATGTTGATAAGTGTTGATGATTTCTGACTATAAATATAGGATATGATATATTAAATATGATATATAAATATGATATATAAATATGATATATAAATATGATATTTTAAATATGATATATAAATATTATATATATATGATATATGATATATAAAATATGTTTGGAGATCGATTTTGGGAACAAAAACAGGGGTGTTTCCAGTGCCAGTCGAAATACGACAGCTTGGGATCGGTTGAGAATTTTCAGATCCTTCACATGGGAAGTTTGGTAAACAAAAATGGGGATTCCTTAATGGAACCACTGTTTTAATATGTTTTATTTGCATTTTGTTCTTCATGTTCTTCATGCTTGCAAATTTAACCATCATAAAGCATCATAAACAATCATGTGTGCTCTGATCCTCCAATCACCTCGTTTTAGGACTCCAAACCGTCAGATTTCCTTACTGCAACTGTCTCAAGGTCTCCCCTAGCTCGAAACTTGAGCCGTGAGAGGGGACCAGACTTAGTGGAAGAGTTGTTATTTGGGTATGTCTGAAAATGGGGTATACCTCCAATTATAGCCATTTAGTAGGGATAATGATCATTAACCATTGGGTGTAGGGGTACACTATTTTCAGACAAAGCCATTTTGCACAAAGAACGGGCCATGTTGAAGCTGCGGCTTGAGATTGGAGAGGGTGCCTTGATGCTTGGTTGCTGTTGCTGTGAGATGATGGGAAACTGCAACTGGGGCACAAAAGAAGGCCGGCATGGTACGTACCAAAGGTGGTGTGCAACTACCGCAACTTTGACATACTTTGACACAGCATTCATGAGATTTTCTAGGCTTTGGAAAGAACATGGCCCTTGTTTCATCTTCGAATCGCTGCTCACATTTGAATGTCAAAAAGGCCATGATGAAGCTCGATGAACACGTATTATGCTGCGACTGTGCAGTAGAAATCAGGACGATGGCTTCAACAAGGTCATGCAACACTGGCAATGGCTTTTGATTTCGGGTTCATGTGGTTTATGTTTGATGTCCTCTCTTTGGAATGACAATCCCAATCGACTATTCAGAATGTGCTTGAAACCAACAACCAGACTCCAGACAGTACCATGTGAATGCTTTGTAACTATCCATGACTTGCATGAACAGACCCAGATTCCTTCAGATTGAGACTCTCTTTCCCTTCAAATCCTTACTCCCCCCCTTACAGTTTTTTTTTTCAAAGAGTCATGTGGGTAGACTGCTGCTTGTGCTGCAGAATTTGGCTTTGGTATGCTTTGGTATTGAAAATTCAAGGGAAAAAATTGGCATTCCATCATCTTCCATCCGATGCTTCGGTAAACCTCATTATAGTGTGTATATATATACAATGTATATACAAGGTTTTCCTAAATAGGGATAACCCCAAATCATCCGAACTTAGACCATTTTAGTATTGAAACCCATATGGTGACTCGAGGATCCCCCATCAAAAGACATCTCACTGTATACTGTATACTCACTGTATAAAAATTACCACACATGTCCCCACTTTATCCCACTTTCAGATTCAAATCTGAGGATCGTTCTGATCGCAGTGACGGCAACGTTTGTTTTGCACGTCGTCCTGTGTAGTCTCCACCACTGCCGTCGGCATCGGGATTTGACTGATGAGGAGAAACTGGGTCTCTATTTTGAAAACGAGCTTGTTTGAAAAATAGGATACACTCTGGTAAACTAACATAACTATGGAAAATCACCATTTTCAATGGGAAAATCCACTATAAATGGTCATGTTCAATAGCTATGTTAAATTACCAGAGGGTACTCCAAAATCCAGTGGCTGATTATCATGTTCCCCATGAAAACATAGGAAATCTATGTTAAATAAGGATGTATACCTCAGTTCGAGACACACCCGATGGTGTACCCCAAAATATTGAAAAAGATCCAGCGGTTTATACAAGCACCCAGGGATGTCCTTCATATGCGCCCAGTCACTGGGTCACCATTAAGCACACATTTGGACTGGTGAAAGCCAGCCAGCTACAATGCCCACTACATGATAGCCAGTGAATGTAGCTTGTGGCATTCCATGTATTTGAGGGTAAAATCACTGGATTGCATATTTGTAGGACTTTCAAAATAGCTCTTTGTAGGGGGTGCCCAATAGAAACCCCATAAATTGCCTGGTATCATCATGGTGTATCCAAACCCAGATGGGACATTATTTTCATTCCTGAGCGATCACCGACTGGTAAATTGTCGTATGACATTGTGTTTTTATTCCTCACCCATCTAAATAAATAATGATACAGATATGATATATTGATAAGACCGCCATTTGCAAACACAATCAGTCATCAATCCATGTTCAAAGGATATACCCTCTGGTTATTCAACGTAGCTATTACACCGGCAAGAGACCCCAAACAGTGTGGGGGGTAGGAAGTTAATGTACAAGATACATCAAGATACCGCTTGTATGGAACGGTGACAGATCAGGTTAGACATTATCGCAACTGCAGCAGCAGGAACTTGTTTTGGAACAAGAAGCAACGCTATATTTGCCTATCAGGACCTCATACCAGAACCTCATACCAGGACATCCAAGAGAATTTCAAATGATCGTCAAAGAAGGACCGTCTATATAGATCTATATAGATCTATGAAGACCTCACAAGATCTTCACACCTTCACACAAGAACTTCCTGTGAGCATCCCAGAAGAACGAACTTTCATACAAGCACCAACGCAGAGCATCTTCAAGATCTTGATTCAAGGAACTATTAGTAGGTAAATCATAATGAAACATGTTTTAATGGGCCATTTTCATCCATGTTCCATAGCTAAGTCAAATCAGAGGGTACCGACTTCGAAGTCGGCTTTCCGTTGAGGGATGGATGACGTCGACGTCCACCATCGCCAGGACGCGAAAGCCTTCTCGGTCTTTGCGGAGGTTGGAGATGTTGGAGATGTTGGATGGGTGGGGTGGCGAGGTGGGAATGCTGTTGCAAAAAAAAACATCAGAAAGTATCAGAATCATTTTAACAGATGAGTTATGCATCACATAACTCATATAACTAATACTTAAGTACAACTTACTAATTAAGATGTATAGCCAATAGGATATCGTGGGAATTGAATATGGAAAATACATGAAAATACCATAATTGTATGATATATGGATGTGTCTGAACGTGGGATATACCCCCAGTAGATGGCCATGTGGATACAAGATAAACAAACATGATGATCAAACAATAGATTTTACGGTGCATACATCTTTCAGACAATCCCATATGTATATATATATATAATTATTTACATATATATATATATATATTATGTTATATACTATATTTGTTATATATTTTTAATATTTTTTTAATATATGTGATATAATATATCTATTATATATGTATCATATATGTTATATAATATATATTATATATATAATACATATATTATATGACATATATATAACATATATATATAACACACTTATTTATATATATATATAACGTATGCTCATGTGTTAGTCAATGGAGATCAGGATTTGTGAACATACTATGCGAGTGAGAATATCAGCAATATTTCCCCACCTGTCAGGTAAGGGTTAGATTTTATGTCAGCTGGCCTCCTCTTCCTCCTCCTCCGCCGGACCTCAACTGCAAGCTCTAGATCGCAGTGTTCTGTGCCGGACCCGAACGGCAAGCCCAAGATCAGAGCGGTCCCTGCCGGACCCCAACTGCAAGCTCGGGATCGCAGCCGTCCCCGCCGGACCGGAGCAGCAAGCCCAAGATCAGAGCGGTCCCCGCCGGACCCGAACAGCAACCTTTGGATCAAAGTGACCCGGCCGGACCTCAACTGCGAGCGCGAGATCGCAGTGGTCCCTGCGGGGCCCGAACAGCTAGATCGCAGTGGTCCCCGCCGGACCCGAACAGCAACCTCTGGATCAAAGTTATCCCCGCCGGACTTCGACCAGATGTTTTTACATGATTCGGTTTGACTGATCAAATATGAGCCAACAACCGGCGCCAGGTGGAATGAAATGAATTGGTGAGTTAGCTGGGCATCTGTCTCACAAAAGATTTTGCTTAAAACAAACAATGCTGTGAGTCTCACAATGGGACTTGTAGCTGAGGGTTTGCCCTAGAGAACGGAACTTCTCCCCTTCCCTACTTCTCTCTTGTCCCTTCTGAAGTCCACTTCCCCAACAACTGAAGACAATGTCAGAGAGAATGCCCGATAGAATGCCAGAAAGAATGACAGATAGAATGTCAGAATAGCTGGCAGATAGAATGTTAGGTAAAATGTCAGACAATATGTCAATATTTTTTATTTTTGTTTTGAAATGCCATGGTGGGGATCACTCGAAGTAAAGCATTTTCTTAAAGGGATATATCAATATGATATATCTATTTGGCAGGTTTGCTAGCAGATTCTTGGATTATTGAAAGTAGACGCAGTCGTACTTGCAAAACTTGCAAATTGTCTATCTATCGCGAAATTAACTTCTGTGTTGGCCCAATTCTAGACATTTGCTTGATAGGCAAGGTGATGAAATTGTTTTGTTCATTTTTTTTCACTTTCAAATTCCCCTACGAATTTAAGCTACAAAGTTTAAGATGTATAGCCAATAGGATATCGTGGGAGTTGAATATGGAAAATACATGAAAATACCATAATTGTATGATATATGGATGTGTCTGAACGTGGGATATACCCCCAGTAGATGGCCATGTGGGTACAAGATAAACGAACATGATGATCAAACAATAGATTTTACGGTGCATACATGTTTCAGACAATCCCATATGTATATATATGTGATATAATATATCTATTATATATTTATAATATATGTTATATACTATATCTTTTATATATAATACATGTATTATATAACATATATATATACAACATATTTATTTATATGTATATAACACACACATATATATATAACGTATGCTATAAATGGAGGTCATGTGCTAGTCAATGGAGATCAGGATTTGTGAACATACTATGCGAGTGAGAATATCAACAATATTTCCCCACCTGTCAGGTAAGGGTCAAATTTTATGTCTCTTCTTCCTCCTCCTCCGCCGGACCTCAACTGCAAGCTCTAGATCGCAGTGTTCTCCGCCGGACCCGAACGGCAAGCCCAAGATCAGAGCGGTCCCTGCCGGACCTCAACTGCAAGCTCGGGATCGCAGCCGTCCCCGCCGGACCGGAGCAGCAAGCCCAAGATCAGAGCGGTCCCTGCCGGACCTCAACTGATAACTGCAAGCGCTAGATCGCAGCGGTCCCCGCCGGACCCGAACAGCAACCTCTGGATCAAAGTGACCCCGGCCGGACCTCAACTGCGAGCGCGAGATCGCAGTGGTCCCTGCGGGGCCCGAACAGCTAGATCGCAGTGGTCCCCGCCGGACCCGAACAGCAACCTCTGGATCAAAGCTATGCCCGCCGGAGCTCAACTGTAAGATCTGTAAGCGCGAGATCGCAGTGGTCCCCGCCGGACCCGAACAGCAACCTCTGGATCAAAGTTATCCCCGCCGGACTTCGACCAGATGTTTTTACATGATTCGGTTTGACTGATCAAATATGAGCCAACAACCGGCGCCAGGTGGAATGAAATGAATTGGTGAGTTAGCTGGGCATCTGTCTCACAAAAGATTTTGCTTAAAACAAACAATGCTGTGAGTCTCACAATGGGACTTGTAGCTGAGGGTTTGCCCTAGAGAACGGAACTTCTCCCCTTCCCTACTTCTCTCTTGTCCCTTCTGCAGTCCACTTCCCCAACAACTGAAGACAACGTCAGAGAGAATGCCCGATAGAATGCCAGAAAGAATGACAGATAGAATGTCAGAATAGCTGGCAGATAGAATGTTGGGTAAAATGTCAGAAAATATGTCAATATATTATATATTTGTTTTGAAATGCCATGGTGGGGATCACTCGAAGTAAAGCATTTTCTATATGATATATCTATTTGGCAGGTTTGCTAGCAGATTCTTGGATTATTGAAAGTAGACGCAGTCGTACTTGCAAAACTTGCAAATTGTCTATCTATCGCGAAATCAGCTTCTGTGTTGGCCCAATTCTAGACATTTGCTTGATAGGCAAGGTGATGAAATTGTTTTGTTCATTTTTTCACTTTCAAATGCCCCTACGAATTTAAGCTACAAAGTTTGTGGCCACAAGCACTATACAGAGGCTTCCATTTTAGTCAGGCTAACCCTGAGATGAAATCCAGGTCCAAGATTTTGCAGGTTAAATTTTTAAATTTGTGATTTTCATTTTATAAAGGAATCATTTTTATCATGTTAGTCCATCATGAAAATCGCAGTGGCATTTTGTAGCATGACATGATGAGCTTCATGCTGGCTTATCAAATCAAACGGGCATTTTGTACCAAAAAAATATGGTCCAAATCTTAGTTTTGAAAAACAACAGAGGCATGATGATGCATGATCTGTATTGATCTGTGATGAATAATGAACGGTGATGCTTGATGGATCTTGATGGATATTGTTGAAACCAACGTTGCATTTTGTAGCAAAGATGTTCCTTTGCATGTGCAATCCTTGAAAATGAAAGGGTATGTCCTTGCAGGATGCAGTTGTTGAAAACGAAGGGGCATTTTGTAACAAGGGAAAACCTCCCCATATGTCAAGGTTGTTGAAACGAAGGGGCATTTTGTAGCTAAGGCTATGTTGGGGAAAAATGGAGCTCAGCAACCTCATTCTATAGCCCCAAGCTTGTGTTTTTTTTTATAACATACAGACCAGGGGTCACAACGTCTCACCTGAAATTCGATGGGGGATACTTTCAATGTTTTATCCATTGAGAACAATTGGGATCATGCTGTTTGGTGTTGTTTTCTATCGACCTCGTTTTGCAGCGTCTGATTGTTTGTTTTTTCTTGCGGCAAGGTTTACAAGTGCCACAAGATTGAGATACCTGAGGAGACAAACGACTTCGCTGGTGGTTTGTAAGATACTGTGATTTCCATCCCAAAAAACGGTTTTGTCCATTAAAAAAGGGTATACGCCATTTTTTTGCGGTAAACCTTAGATAATCTTAGATAATTAGATATGTTAATCTCTGTAAATGGGAATATTTACCAACCTTTTTTTTTCGGTGGCAAGGTTTCCAAAATCGGCCATGTCGCCATGTGGCAGTGGTTTGAACAATTTAGAAAATTTTATGATCAATCATGGGAATGTAAGGATCAATTTGGGGTATCCCCTATCCTGAAACAGAACACGATGTTTCCAACAAACCGCAAATGGGATCTGGGCGTAGCGATGTCACTGGCCGCCACTAAATGATGGTTTCATATGGTTACAATGTATCATGACATGGAAAATCGTCCCCAAACAGGCGAACTTTGCTGGTCTCGGAATTGCAGGAATCACCCAGAAATATGATGACATATGTTGATTTCCATCCCAACAAATCGGACGATGATCCCTGACAATTTTCCGATTCTTGATGGTCTCGAATACAATACAGTAACATATATGAAAATTAATGTTCATGTCCATCCTTGCATGAAATTGTGATTGCCAATGGCTCAGTGACTTCTTTTTTAGAGGTTTTATGACGTTGGGGTTCAGGATGACTTGTGCAATGACGCACAGGTCCCCTACCTGCACTTTTGTATCCCCATGATTGGTCAATTCAAACGGCACTGTTTGTAATTACTGGGTTCCCATTCTTGTTGAAGGGCTACTTTTACTATCAAATTTGTTGTGAATGATATAGAAATTTATTCTGGGTACTAAAAAAAGGGTTTGTTTATTTATATAATGAAAATCAAAGATTAAACAATTCCAATTTTGGCGTTTCCGCAAAAAATAGGGCTACCAGTACCACGTAAATCACTATTTCAGCAGTGTTCACAACCCGTGTTGGTTGATGATCATAGGGGTTTATTTATGCTACCCAACATCTTGGCGAGGATCGGTTCATCCGTTCAGAGAAATTCGTTACCAGCCAGGATAAATGGATGACATGAGCCACGTTTTGAACGCTGCTCGTTTGGTTTACAATCCATCCGGCTAATGCTCAATGATGGCTAATGTAGTTAATTAAGCTCAATAAAAAAAACCAACGAATCACAAATCATTTATCATCCATTATTCCTCCATCGAGCATCATCGCAACGGCAATGATGAACCGAGTAATACCCATCCATATCAAAACAAACTATACATAAAGATTGTCCCATTAAAACGAAGAACTGGAGATCATCCCACTAATCATTAATCATTGCATATCGTTAATCTCACTCATCATCCATGAATCATCCAGCATACGCATCCATTAATCATCATTAAAACGGCCAATTGGGATGAGTTGCCCCAGGGTTGCCCCATGACGACTAGGAAACCAGGCCCCAGCATCCACGCAGCGCTAGGATCTCTTTGAGTTAAAACCGCTCGCCATAACCAGACGCCTCTGGAACTTCATCAAGTGCGTCATGCTCCTCAGCAAGGATAGGGTGACGCAGCATTGAATATGTGGATTTAAGATGATTTAAGATGATTTAAATGGATTTCAGCATGAAAAGTTGAGATTTCATGGGGTTTGAAGCATCAAAAAATGTGATGTTTGGTAGCACGTTCAGCATCACCATTTAAGAACTTCTCACTTCAGCTTGTCACTGGAGGATCATGCCAAAAAAGGGGGATTTCCATGAGGGATCCATCCATAGCTGGATGGTTTCATGGAAAATCCTACCAAAATGGATGATTTAAGGGTACCCCCATTTCACCTCCACATCTGAAAATGATGGGACCACCCCCCCAAATCGGGATGATATGTTGGTGATTTGCCTACCAATTGAAATGGCAATGGTTTGGGAGAAAATCCATGTTGGTATTGTGTTGGTGAGAAATATCCAGTGTATCCTAATAAAAGTGTTGGTTTCATACCATCATGTTTCAGATACATCAATATAAATCAGTAAATCCCCCCCCAAAAAAACAGCATTGTTTCGGACAAAGCCAGACATCATTGCTGGTTATATGCTAATAGGGGTTGTTTGAAGCCAAGCGAATCCCATGTTGAATCGGTTACCATCAGCTTTCCCATGAAAATTGTGCATGTGGGCTATCCACCGTTTTTGGACACATCCTCGATCCGCTGATTAAGAAACACATTTTCCTCAAGGTTCAGATGATTTCACATATCGTATATGGTTCTCCCCTATTTCCCATATTAGATCTCCATTTTGTCCTCATGCTATCCCCATGATGTGCCCATAATATATGACACTAATCATCAGCCAACCATAGTTTTATCATTAATCTTCTTCAAAATATATATGGATACCGTTGACTTCCAAATATATACCAATTGCAATGGTTAATTCCATATTTATATTTCTGTGATAATCACAGATGATAGTCATACGGTTGCGAATAGTAGATAGTATAAATGGTGTGATGTAAGTATATGCTACACTACACCAGCAAAATATAGTCCATATGATCACTATTCTGTTTTTTGGAGATATGGTAAAATCTATGTATATATATATATGTATGTATGATTAAAATGCATATATAAATCAGTTAAATTATATGTTATATAAATGTCTATAATTCTATATTTAAAAATAAATAATAGTTATATCCCATCTCCTTTTTCGGAGATCCCTTGACAGTTGCGTTGCGTCCCTCAGGTTCTGCCTACCCAAAACTCCCCCACGGGCCAAGCAGCCGGCAAGCGCCTGGGCATTACTGGGGATGGAGATGGGGCCAGCGTCCTCCTACCTCAGCCAGCTGGCCAGCAAGATTGACCAAGCCTTATTGGTGCCTTGGAGCCGAATTCTTGGGATTTTTGGGAGAATTTTCATGAAGATTTCAAGCCTGGTGCGGGAATCCTTGGGATAAAAGATTGGGATGATTTAACTGGGCAGCCAAGGAACTACGAAAAGTTTCCGGACCACATGATAGACAGTCCCGTGGGATAATGTTGGGATAGTATCAGGATAATACAAGCTTATAGCAGGCTGGGACATTCCATTATGAATTATAGATTGTGTTTTAATGGGAAAATCATAAAACCAAAATGAGTTTTTCAAGCAAGCCATGTTGTATTACCAGTTAGGGGACCATTTTCTCATGGCAACAATCATGATTAGATGGACGGTTGTCCCTTCCCAGAATTGATGTTGAGTAGTGATGCAGTAAAAAGTTCCCAAAAATTGGGAAAAGCATCCGCAGATGGATCCTGGTTCTGTCAAACATTTCAATTTCACCCAGACAGAAGATGATGATTGCAACTGGCAACTGACTAATATATTTGAATCGGTTGAGACCACCCACTAGAATACAACTATAGGGATATATAGGGATTGTCCAAGGTTACTCCTTATTCTTATTTGAAATCAAGGCCAAATATGTTGCTCCTTCAACTACCATCAACCATTTTGGCTGTTCTGAACAGCGCCGTTTTGGGAGAAGTGAAACCAACACGAAATCATTGGAACTCTCAGGTGTACCAGAGCCAACTTGCAAAGAGCTTGGTTGTCTATAGCACCTTGGACAGCAGATGTGCTGAATGGAAAATGGGTCAAGTCCAAGGACGGTGAATTCCAACATGATTCATTTGATTCATCCCATTAAAATGTAAAATTACAATAAATTACATGGACTAAGACTAGAAGTGGCCAAATTTGTGAATTCATTCTGTGCCGAATCATTGCGGGTGCATCACTGGGTGTGTCCGCGAGTTCGCTGGCTGTTGGCCACCTTTTTTTTGAGTCCTCATAGACTGCTGTTGTTTCACCTTTGAACAACATGGCACTATGTTATATCAGCTTACCATTTCCGTACCTTCGACCATGCTGCCAGTTTGTTTCTACCAGTTGGGTGATAAGCTTTGTTTAAAAAATGGATTATGAGCAGGTCTTAATCCTTGAGCAGAGATGTGAGTTTTGGAGTATCCCAGTTTGACGCGAATATTCCGAATCCCCAGAGAATGACATTCATTCACAATCAGGGGCAGGGTACGCTTGACTTTGCTCAACCTGATCGAACTTAGGCTGGTCTGGGGAATGGATAGAACCGAAAGACTCCCTGCTGCAGAATGGTTTGCGGAGTCCTTTTGTGCCATCTATTGCCATGTCTGTTTTGTCTTTTGAAGACAGCCCGGCCTTTGATGTGCTACGGGGTTAGCAAACTGTCTACCAAGCAAGTTTATATATACTTATACTATCTCATACTTACACTGTATTGTAGACCCGGATAAACAAGTTGCCAATGAATTGGTAACCACAGAAAACATCCATTTCAACTGGAACTTAAATTCTGACCGAAACTCGGCTGCCCGGTGGCCCGAGCGGCCGACCAAGCCCTTGCCAGGTCTAGGTACAATTACTGGTTGGTGGTTTGGAACATGACTTTTATTTTCCCATATAGAAGGGGAAATATATTGGGAATCATAATCCCAACTGACTAATTAATATTTTTCAGAGGGGTGGCTCAACCACCAACCAGATTAGGTACATACTTGTACTTGTGCTTTGTGATATGGGTAATATGTTCATGGCTCAACAAATCAGCCGCTGGGATCCGCTGGACAGCCGTCCTGACATCATGTATTAGGACATATTCTGTAATCATCCTGGAGAGAATATGGGATTTTCGAAAATATTTCAAATTTTGTGAGGATGTTTTGACCTACTCCAGGATGACCATACAAATTGATAAACGACACCATATATATAATATGTGTGTTATGTGCATAATGTGATCCATGTAGGTGGTTGCGTTCTGGGTTGCCAAAAATCTTCATGCTGTGTCCAGTGTCGTCACAAAACCATCAGCCAGGGCTCAGTGTGAAAAAACTTGAGCCCAACAAAATGACCAACGCTGGGTAGTCATGTTTGGACGGTTCATGAGATAAAAACCCTCTGGTAAACTAGCATGACTACTAGTATGGAAAATCACCATTTTTTTGTGGGTAAATCAACTATTTCAATGGCCATGTTCAATAGCTATGTTAGTTTACCAGAGGGTACTGGATGTATAAGTAATTGGAGATATAGCCAACCATCCCTATTTGGGAATGTCTGAAAACATAGGGGAAGACCTGAAAAACGCTCCAACATCTGATGGATCATTGTGAAACACAGAAACGGACCTAAATGGTAGGTGTATTAGGCGTGTACTAGGTGTACTAACCATTTTCAGACTCACCAAGAAAGCCCTAGTTGATCCTAGTTGTGTAGGGACTCAGTAGGGACTTTTTTTTTCCCTATGCACCAGCCCAGTTGTGTAGGGACTCTTCTTTTTTCCCTAACCAGCCCAGCCAAGGATGAGCTTTGTACACACTTTCCTTCCTTCATCGTGGCGGAAGAATGGAGACGCTGGGCTCGGACCATCTCTCACTATTCCCAGGAGGTGCGCAGAAAGAAAGAACCGACTGACTGACGAATCACTCATTTAAAGGATGCAAATCTCATTTGTGTTACATTTGTTCATATCAATACATAATTAGTTCAATAATATTTATATATGTGTTTATTACATATTAATACATATATTATATATCATGTAATCTCAGTCGTTTGTCAAACTCCGTTTTACCACTGTTCCAACGTTTTGGTTGTTTTTTTTTGTGCTCGAGCCTTCACTGACGGCTTTTGTAAAACCGATGATCGACTTTACCATGTTTATGATCTGAAAAGCATGTCAATAAACCCAAATATATGGGTATGGGTCAATACCTATAGATATATTACTATAGTGGGATGAACATCCATAAATCCCAGCTATGACTTGGGGTTCACTAGGTACCAGGGTTTTGACCCATCCCCATATGGGAGATATGATTTGGGAATCACCTCTACGGATTCTGCCAGGTCTGGAAGCAACAAAAACAATTATGACATTGCTAGCCATCCACCTCGATATCCTCCATCCACGTCATGGGGAAGTGGAACACAAACACCGAAATCAACATTCACTGCTTTAATGGAATTCATGGTGATTTACTAGTGGTTAATAGTGATGGTTAATAGTGATGGTTAATAGTGATGGTTAATAGTGATGGTTAATAGTGGTTAATAGGCTATAAACCAACAACAACAACAGGAATATGATGGTGTTCTGATTGGTGGTTTGGAACATGACTTTTATGACTTTCCATATATTGGGAATAATATAATCCCGACTGACTAATATTATTTTTCAGAGGGGTGGCTCAACCACCAACCAGTATTGGTTTGTAATGTAACAAACTTGTGCTGCCACGTTTTGATTGCTACGAATTTGTGTTGATACGGTACTTCCTCTAAGCCAGCTCCTTGACTGCATCTTTTTCCACCTGTGATTTGGAAGATCTGGACACGGAACTGGAACGAAAATGGCAGTAACTTAACCGTAGATATAGTGATGATATCGCACTTATGGGGGTTAGAATCTTATGGTTGTACCCATTAATGACCCATTAATTTTGCTGATTCTGATTTGTTGGGTTTTGCTATCACTACTTGTTTACTTAGTGCTTTGAGCGCTGCCCATTCAGTGTCACATAAATCTGAAGTACTCTGAAATGTGTGTGTGTGTGGTATACTTTCTAAGTCCTTTTGAGTTTTTACCTGACAAAAAGAACATGCGAGGCGTATCGAACACAAGTCCTTTGAGACATATCCTGTTTACCGTCTTAAACCTATCATGCATCTCTGTGCGGACTTGGAGGCTGCACGACTGACACGTCTTTGAACCCTCCCTTTCCCTCCAAAGAACATATAGTACTGTAGGTCCGGGGTCCAGAGGGCCGGTATGGTCTTGTGGATAAGACGCATCTCTCATGCGTGCGGAGAGGCGCACTACCCCACCCCTCCAGTTAAGGGGTGTGGTCCGTAAACACGATCTTACGTAGATCCGGGGTCCTAAATTCAATAGTCCTACTGGGAAAACCGACCTTGATTGGATATGTCTTGTTGTTTTATTTGATTTCCCTTCAAAATCCCAATCCGATGAAATCCCCGAATTCCCTCAAAAATCCAGTAGTTTCCAACGTTTTGACCACGTTCCCATGGCGCCAATCTAGGCGCAGCTGGATTTGCTCCAAGAGCTGGAAACGCGTCTGGAGTTCCTGGATGAGATCGAAACTGGCCTCGGTCATCCGCGACTCTCAGAGCTGCAGTATTCCTATGGTGTCCTGGTGATTCGGCGGATGGTGATGGATTTTGGGGATTATTTTGGGGATTTTTCTGAACAGAGATCTGGGATTTATTGGGATGTTGATGTAATTAGATGTTTTGGCTGGCAAAAAAATATATGTTTCTTCTATGTATGTATCAAATCCCTCCAATAATGAGGGACCCTGAATCAATACATCGAGCACTTAACCAGCGGCTTTTTGAATGTTGTTTAACAAGTATGATATAGGGGGAAGGGGATGATGCGGTATAGCCCCCCAGAAAGTCACAGTATGGTGGTTTATTCAAATTGGAGAATGTCCCAGAGCATCATAGAAACAGTGCTAATGACAGAAAATATCAGAAATGTTGCTGTCATTGAAATAATATTTGGCGGAATAAAGGGTTGGCAGAATTTGGCAGTTTCAAGCATGATGTGTCTTCTGTTCCTCTTGGGAAACACGATCATCCCAGTTGACCATGTTTTTTTAAATTACCAACCAGATGAACAGTTGTCGGCGGCTGCGGCTGAGGTTGGGATACCAATGCAGACCGCCATTTGCTTCAGATCTTTTTTGTTTCTAATGCACGACTATTTGTGATCAGTGGTTTCACATATTTTTCATTTCAAACCATAGAAATGGGATCATGATCTCCAATGACAAGCATATTCGTAATATTTTGTAATGGGGTTGACACCAGCAATCAAGTTTTTGTGGCATCTACACTTTCGTATACTTTCGTCAGTTTCGCCAGGGGAGATCCTTGCCAAGTCATATGACTCATACGACCTCACCACAAATGGTAACTAGAAAGGTGAAGTATCTCAAATAAATGTTGCCCCAAATCTCGTTTGACCATTAATTACACAGTATCCACCTGATATGGACGCGACCAGTCTATGTGGTGAGTAAAGCAGGTAATGAACATATTGAGGGGGGGGACTAACTCGGGGGTGCAGTAAGTGCATGTATAACCATAGTTGCGGGGGCGCCAAACCCCCCGGAACGGCTGTAATCCCATAATTATTGCCGTGATATAATAAGCTCAACTGTATGGGATAGCAAACTACTACAAGATCCATTCAACAGGTGGGTTATTACAAACAGTAAGCATCAGTAAGCTATATAATATACCTACAGTATGAACCATTCCCATGGTTTAGCTTGCACAACTTCATCATTTTTTTGGCATCATCCATGGGGATCATCCATTCCTACTTTTGCTGTGGCTCAAAACTGATTTATCCCAAAATGATCCCTAAAATGCGAAAGATTCCATGTATTCCATAGCCCAAAACCACAAAGATTGGTTTTTACATTCCATATGAGCTATGGTCAATACTCATGGTTAATAACCATTAATAGGGGCTAGTCATCCAATGGTTCATAGGGATTTATAATAACCATTATAAGGATCCTTATTATGGATGGGATGACCATGGCTCATATATTTATGGACCAATTGGATGCTTCCGCAAAAACCACCAGCGCCGGGTCTAGTCTCGTGACCTCGGGCTAGGAGGAGCTGTCCCTTCTGAAGGCCTTCACCACAGTGGTGTCCCCCTCTATTTGGAAAATGAAGCCGCACATCCATTTGTCAATGCTGCAGAAGTCCCATGCCACACTGATGATGCCTGGATATGTATATGTCGTTAATTTTTGTGGCGGTAAACCACAGGAACAAGCAAAAAAACAATTATCAAATTTATTTGGGCTACTTAGACATACTGTATATATATAGTATATATATATATCTATCTAATTGGGGTTTGTTGGCTTCAACTCGCGAATGCATAGCGGCGCATTTTTTCATGGAAGAATTCAAGCTTCTGAGATGGGCGCGGGCCAGAATTGGGTGCCAAACATAAAGGGACCACCTAACTATCATGTATGTGTATATATCTATAACATGCTTTTGTTTTTTGTTACTATACTATATCAGCAAAATTATAAATGTACAGATATTTGATAGTTGTTCATTGTCTGATTTCTTTGGCCAATGTCCTTGGGATTAGTATGATCTACCTGAGCCACTTCACCAAAGTTTGCTGGTTGATGCTATGAAAAAAAAATACATGGTCTCATTAAAAACCACAGGACAAAGAATCTATATATATATATACTCAAGTGAAATTGTACCCATGGACTCATGGGAACTATAATCCAAGCAATTGAAACTATGATACAAACTATCTCAAATAGTTTAGAGGTTTAGAGGCTACCATTTCTTTTCATCCAATTTGGTTTCGCCCCAGCTCAAGGAAGTCGGCCTTCTACATCAGCAAGCGCCTCATCACCCAAATCATTCGTTTTTTTGAATGTGTCCTCCATCAGGACGGTGGTATCGCTTGTAGCTTTGGCCGGCCGAGTGGAGTGCGATCATTCCCAATTTTTTTAAAGGATTCTAAGAACCCCCAAAAAAATGTCCCCAAAAAGTTGTCCCCATATATTGTACCATACCCCATATACGCCGTATATGTTTGGATAGTAAGAACGATATTACCAATCACTCCTCAACTCATCTCACCATGTTGGGGTTAGAAATGGGTGCTCCATCACATCCAGTGGCGACATAGCCCAAGGTTGGAGTCATGATAGCGTTTTGCTGCCGTCCCAGTTCCGGACAAAGCCATCTCAAAAAGCCAATATCACATGGTCATTCAATATAACATGTACATGTACATATATATATATAATTATATATATATATATGCTCAACGCCCCCCACAGAACCCCAACTAATGTATGTGTTACACTTTTTCTTTGGACATGGTTGTTTTTTTGATGAAGTAGAGCCAGAGTAAGAAGCATGTCTTGATCAGCCATATGTGATATACAAAGAACAAACCTTGATTATAGCTTCAATATGCGTTTGATTTACAATTTTATTGACCATGAAAATATCTTGAATAAACCTTTGATATACCTTTAATATACCTTGAATATGCCTTTTAAATACCATCCAATACACCTTTGGTATTCCTGCAGTATACCATTTCATATACTTCTGGCATACCATTTGATATACGACAAATCTACCTCTAATACCAATTAATTGACCTTGAACATACTTTTAATATACCGTTAGTGTACCTTGAATACCGTCAAAACAAATATGTTTAAGATACCATTTAATATACCTGCAGCATACCGGTTCATATATAGCATGAGTATACCTATACCTGTATTATTCCCTCAATCTACCTGCAATATGCCTGTATTATACCATTGAATATACCTGTAATTTACCATTGAATTTGTCTTTAGCATGCCATGTAATAAACAAGTAATATATGTTTGGTTTATCTGCAATATACCTTCAGTATACCATGTCATTGACCAGAACATATCTTTAATATACCTTTAATGTACCTTTATATACCTTCAATATACAATCTAATACGGACGGCTTTAATATCACATTTAAGATACCTTTAGTAGAATTTTAGCTTAAAATCTTATAGGCCATTAAAGTATCTTTAATGTACCTGTACTATACCTCTACAATACCTTTCGTAACCAATTAACTTGATTTCCAGCTACCTTTAATATAGCACATAATATATATATATACACGTGTGTTTTTACCATTTCATGTGTCATTATATAATACAATTAATGTTTAATACATCAATGTATGATATAGTATCTAAAATACCGCTTTATTCACCTTTACTAAACCATGAATACATGCATATAAACCTTGCATATATGTTTAGTATAGTATACCTTCGACATACGTTTTGAATTCTCTCTATTACACCTTTATGATATGCAAATTAATTCACCTTTAGTATACCTTAAAGATACCATTTGCCCATGGAAATATCTTTAATATACCTTTCGTATACCTTGAAATACAATTTTATTGGCCCATGAAAATATCTTTAATATACCTTTAGTATGCCTTTACTATACCTTTAATATTCATTGAATATACCTTTTAAATACCATCTAATACCCCTTTAATATACCTGTACCTTTAATGCACCATTTCATATACCTTTAGTATACAATTTCGAAAGCCTTCAGTATACCATTTAGTATGCCTTTGTCCAATTCAAGTCGTATACCTTTAGAATACCATTGAATATACCTTGCATACACCTTTAGTACATCTTGAAGATACCTGTAACATCTTGAATGCAAACTGTCCCAAAAAATAAGTCAACAAGAGAACATCAATTTTTCATATGTTTTTGGAGATCCAAAATATGGAAAATTAAAAAATCATTGAAGAAACACAAAAAAAAACAAAACAAACAATATTTGGAGATTTTTTGGGGAAGGCACCAAGGAGAAAAGCAAAACAAAAAAAACATATTTGGAGACTTTTTGGAGAAGGCCCCAAGGAGAAAACAAAAAAACACAAAAAAAACAAAAAAACCTTGTTGGGAAGCCCAAACGCGATGCTAGAGAGATTCAACGCGAACATTTGGCACCATCAGTGGAAGTCGTGTAAACACAGCACCGTGAACATTTTTGTCAAGTCAGGATCAACCTTCCAACATGAATGGTTTAATACACAAATTGATATTTATTTTTGGATCCATGGAATCCATAGGTACCCAGTTTTGACCCATATCCGTTTGGGTTATGTATGTTTCCTTCTATATGCAGGTTGGGTGCTGGAACCTCTTTGTAGTGTAAATACCCTCTCGGCCCTTCAGTGAGGGAATCTCGAAGTCCTCCCAAATTCAGAGAAAACTTGTATGGTCAAGTTTTGTGGTGCAGGGAACCATAGATGTTTGATCATTTTTTCCCTGAAGCGTATGCGTTTGCCATTGGGGTGAGGGACCAGGAGAACTAGCCCATCTGAAATTTCTAGCCCATAAGTATTATGGCTTGCGCCGCGCCTGGAAATTTAGCTGTACTTGCAGCCAGTACACATCATCAGTGGAGACCTGCTGCAGGGCCAGCAGGCACCTCCAAAACAGCAGAAGAAGCATGACTACCAGCAGAAGATTCAGGCAGATTCAGCTATTATCTTTGAAGGAAACGTCATGATGGAATTCAGCTGATTTTTTTGTGAGGTGGGCAGAAGCCATGACGAACTGGCCTTGAAAAGCCCAAGATTGCATTCCCCTAAGAATGGCCCCGGGCTTTTTCTCAGCTTTGAGACTCTGTATAGGACACCCCGTAACTGATTGTCTAACACAATTTCTACAATCTTGACTGTAACTGATTGTTTGCAGATTGCAATGTGTTGACTGGAAAATTACCCTTCACATCCCAACCATGATGATAATGATGATGATGATGAGGATGATGATGATAATGATGAGGATGATGATGATGATGATGGTGATGATGATGATGATGATGGCGATGACGATGGTGCTCACAGTTCCAAAACTTGACGTTGGTGGAACAACTTGGGCAAGGAGGATTTGGAACTGTTTGGCGGGCCACAGCGGACACAGATTGCAGAACCGGCAAAGAGGCCGCAGTCAAGTTCTCCAATAAGTAGAGACTTGTTTCTTTTGGGAGGGCGAGGGCTGACAATTCAAAGACCCTCCCAAAAAGTGACCAAAAAACAAAAAGACCCTAAAAGTCTCCAGATGTTTTTTGTTTTTTTTGTGTTTTCAATGTTTTTTTGGTTGTTTTCTCCTTGGTGCCTCTCCCAAGAAGTATCATTTGTTTGTTTTTTTCCATGTGTTTTTTCCTTGTGGCCACCACCAAAAGAGTCTCCAAATATTGTTTTTCTTATTGTTTTCAGTTTTGATTGATTTTTAGAAGCCGATTTTTGGGTTCAATATAGAGCCTATGTACCCTACATATATGTACAAATCATGATAATATTTAAGTTGCAGATGTGTGTATTTTACGCGTATTTACAATGTTTTGAAGGGATGACCCATTATCGTTTCTAATGTACTTATATATGATCCTCAATATGGGGGTTCTGGGGGGGCGGTGACCGCAAATATATATATATATATATCAGACATCCCATTACATCTACCAATTTTGTGGGTTGTATACTGCTCCTTCTATGGACAAGCCCGGTATGTTACTCATCGCAGGATGATGTGCGAGTGAAGTCCTTTATTCAGGAACAGCGTCAGCCTCGAAATATCAGGCGATGGGAAAGAAACGACACCTGGTTTAGCCCTGTGGAATGTAGTACTACTGTGGTAATAATGGGATAATCTTGGGAAGATACTGTATTGGGATCATATTGAACATCCTGTGTAAAGAGAATTTGCTTAGCCAGTCATCATTTGTAAAGTATGGAGAAAACAGAGCCACTGAAAGCTACTTGGTGGGTCACCCCACTTACTAAATAGGTTATATCCTTGGTTTTGTTCGTGGAATAAGCCGGGTGAATCCACTTTTAACTGGGATGACCTAGCCTACCTGCATTCGTGGGAAGCACCAAGTTGGGTGGGCGTCCATTTGCTGAAAATACGGGAAGATATGTCATAATGTTGGGAGAATGCTATCATAGATGTTTTTTTAACACGGGACTACTGCCACTCAGTTTTCAGACATTGGGGGCCAATTTACATCAATTTACATATTCAGTGCGTGATCACTATTTTGTGGGGGTAACCCCAGGATTTTGTTCACCTTTTGGTCACAAGAAGATATAAGCTTGGAAGCCACCTGGCAAAGGCAACAAAATACATGCAAATGAGAAGGTTTTGGCTGAAAGTGGATGTCCAAAATACATCAAAATACAACTGAAGATCATTTGGGTTGCAGATACCTCAATGTCCAAATTGTATTTGTAATGAGTAGAGAGAACATACAAAGAACATCCTATATATATACGTATAAATATATATATATATATGCAGGCAATAAAAATTGGAGTAGCACGAGCAAGATTGCGATGGAATGAAATTTGGATAGATGATAGATTCTGATAGATGTCTATCATGTTCTGTCCTCTGACTTTGGAGTTTAAAATCCCATATAAGCCCCATTTTCCCTGCATTTTTTGAGTGTTTGGCCCATAAGCCTATATACATAAATCTCGCCTTTTCAGGTGGTATTTCTGGGCATTTCTGACCTGGCCCCAATTCGCTGCGGCGGATGGCAAAGACCTGATGAAACATTTGCACGTGCCGGATCGAGACCCAGAGTGACCTGGCCTAATGACTCAAATGGAGGTTTCCTAAGTCATGGAAGGTACCCGGTACCCCAAATCATCCCAATTTTTTTTTGTTGTATAGCATGGTATAGACTTTTTATTGGGAGATTGGGAAAAATTATTATGGTGAACTATATTCACACACACATATATATATACTTTATATATATATATATATCGGTAAATATTGGACCTGGACCCATTTTCTTTATATTTATATTTTGGGATATTATGGAACAACCCCCGAACTCGCCATGGAGGTTTAGTTCGCTGGGAAAATCATGAAACAATTGAAGATTTTCCAGCCATGTTTGATGACACCAGAGGGTGTGGTTTCCCAATGGAAGTTTGTTCACTGAAAATTCATGGGGCACATCTTTTTGGGAAAGACTTTTCCCCGAATGCGTAGCAAGGGTTCCCGTTTCACTCTGGGGGTCTGGGGGTTGAGGGTGTGTTCGCTCGACGTTGCGCAACCGTTCGCAACTGCTCGCAACAGTCAGCAACCGTTCGCAACTGCCCGCAACCGTCTGCAACCGTCCGCAACCGCCCGCAAACGTTCGCACGAGGTCGCTAGTGCCCATGGCAAGTTCTGCAGCAGGGGTCACTTTTGGAGGTTTCACGTGTCCCGTTCAGACATATCTTTTTTTTTACGTGGTAGGCGCAATATTTTTGCGACGTTTTCAGAAGATGAGTTCCAGTCTTCGTGGCAGGTGCAGCACTTTGGAGACCTCCATCGTCATTTTGCGTGGCAGGCGCAGCACTTTAGAGGAGTTGCGTTGCGTGTTTTTTGCGAATCGCATTGCCAGGGCTGCCTCAAGTGGTGACAAAGTGCAAGTACCGTGGCAGGCGTGGCGTTTTGTGAGATGCGCTGAAAATTGATGGAAGCCTCGCACGAAACATCGATTTCGAGGTAGCAAATTTTAAGGTTCACACGAGAAAACTCGTAGGAAAACGTCGATTCTGAAGCTACAAAGTGTGAAATTGGAGGAAGTCTTTACGAAATGCTCGTTTTGATGCTTCAACATGTCTCGTTTCGAGTCTGTGGTTTTCGTGCGGCGTCGCCGTGTTTATGGGGGAAGCTGCAAAACTTGTCCTTTTCTGGGTGTCAAACCAGGTTGGAATGTCGTTTTGCGTGGTAGGCGTGGCACTTTCTGACATTCCAACCTGTTTCAGAACGTGTTGAAAGTCGTTTTCTGTGGCAGGCACAATGCACCCCACACTCTACACTCCACACTCTACACTCGACACTCTACACTTTACACTCTACACTTTACACTCCACACTTTACACTCCACACTTTACACTCCGCACACTCTACACTCCACACTTCCCACTTTACACTTTACACTCCACACTGTACACTTCACACTCTACACTTCACACTCTACACTTTAAACTACACTTTACACTCTACACTCTACACTCCACACTTTACACTGCACTCCTCACTCCACACTTAACACTCCACACTCGACGCCTGACACTTTACACTTTACAGTCCACACTCGACTCTCTACACTTTACACTCGACTCTCTACACTTTACACTCTACACTTTACACTCTACACTTACACTCCACACCCTACACTTTGTACTCCGCACTTGATGCTCCACACTTTACACTGTACACTCCGCACTTTACACTGCTACACTTTACATTCCGCACACACTCCACACTTTACCCTCTACACTCTACACTCCACACCGCAAACTACACTCCACACTCTACACTCCACACTTCACACTTTACACTCCACGCTCTACACTGCACACTCCACACTTTACCCTCCACACTCCACACTTTACACGTTGCACTCCAGACTCTACACTCCCCACTTTACACGCTACACTCTACACTCAACACTTTACACTTTACACACTTTACTCAACTCTCCACACTCCACACTCCACACTCTACACTTTACACTCCACACTTTACACTGTAAACTCCACACTTGACACTCTACACTTGACACTCTACACTTTACACTCCACACTTTGCACTTCACTCTCCACATTTTACACTTTACACTCCACACTCCACACTCTATACTTTACACTTTACGCTCAACACTCCGCACTCTGCACTTTACACTCCACACCCTACACTTCACACTCTACACTTTACACTCTACACTTTACACTCTACACTTTACACTCTACACTTACACTCCACACTCTACACTTTGCACTCCGCACTTGATGCTCCACACTTTACACTGTACACTCCGCACGTTACACTGCTACACTTTACATTCCGCACACAATCCACACTTTACCCTCTACACTCTACACTCCACACCGCAAACTACACTCCACACTCTACACTCCACACTTCACACTCTGCACTCCACGCTCTACACTGCACACTCCACACTTTACCCTCCACACTCCACAATTTGCACGTTGCACTCCAGACTCTACACTCCCCACTTTACACGCTACACTCAACACTTTACACTTTACACACTTTACTCAACTCTCCACACTCCACACTTTACACTCTACACTTTACACTCCACACTCTACACTATACTTTACACTTTACGCTCAACACTCCGCACTCTGCACTTTACACTCCACACCCTACACTTCACACTCTACACTTTACACTCTACACTTTACACGCTACGCTCCACACTTTACACTTTACACTCCTCACTTCACACTTTACACTCCCCACACCACACTTTACACTTTACACTCCACACTCGACACTCTACACTTTACACCCTACACTTTACACTCTACATTTTACACCCGTCCACACTCCACACTTTACACTTTAAACTCCACACTTGATGCTCCACACTTTACACTGTACACTCCGCACGTTACACTGCTACACTTTACATTCCGCACACAATCCACACTTTACCCTCTACACTCTACACTCCACACCGCAAACTACACTCCACACTCTACACTCCACACTTCACACTCTGCACTCCACGCTCTACACTGCACACTCCACACTTTACCCTCCACACTCCACACTTTGCACGTTGCACTCCAGACTCTACACTCCCCACTTTACACGCTACACTCTACACTCAACACTTTACACTTTACACACTTTACTCAACTCTCCACACTCCACACTTTACACTCTACACTTTACACTCCACACTCTACACTATACTTTACACTTTACGCTCAACACTCCGCACTCTGCACTTTACACTCCACACCCTACACTTCACACTCTACACTTTACACTCTACACTTTACACGCTACGCTCCACACTTTACACTTTACACTCCTCACTTCACACTTTCCACTCCCCACACCACACTTTACACTTTACACTCCACACTCGACACTCTACACTTTACACCCTACACTTTACACTCTACATTTTACACCCGTCCACACTCCACACTTTACACTTTAAACTCCACACTTGATGCTCCACACTTTACACTGTACACTCCGCACGTTACACTGCTACACTTTACATTCCGCACACAATCCACACTTTACCCTCTACACTCTACACTTCACACACTACACTCGTCACTCCACACTTTACACTCCGCACTCCACACTTTACACTCCAAAGTCCACACTTTACACTCCACTTTCACACTTTACACTCCACACTCCACACTCTACACACGACACTCCCCACTTTACACTTTACATTCCACACTCCACACTTTACACTCCACACTCGACACTCTACACTTTTGATTCCACACTTTACTCACTTTACACACTTTACACTTTACACTTCACATTTTACACTTTACACTCTGCACTTCACACTTTACACTCCGCACACACTCCACACTTTACACTCCACACTCTACACTCCACACTCTACATTCCACAAACTAGACTCCACACTTTACACTTTACACTCCACACTTTACACTTTACACTCCACACTTTACACACTACACTTTACACTCTACACTTTACACTGCACACTCTACACTCCACACTCTACACTTCACACTCCACACTCCACACTCTACACTCTACACCCCACACTTTACACTTTGCACTCTGCACTTTGCACTTCACACTCCACACTACACACTTTACACTCCACACTTGGCACTTTACGCTCCACACTCCACACTCTACACTTCACACCCTACACTTTTTACTACACTTTACACTTTACACTTTTCACTCCGCACTTTAAAATTTACACTTTTTACTCCACAATCTACATTCACACTCTACACTCACACTCTACAGTCCGCACACACTCCACACTTTACACTCCACACTCTACACTCTATACTCCACACTCTACACTTCACACTCTACACTTTACACTCTACACTCTACACTCCACACTTTACACCTCACACTCCACACTCCACACTCTACACTTCACACGCTACACTTTAAACTTTACACTCCTCACTCCGCACTTTACACTCCACACTTTACACTTCACACTCGCACTTTACACTCTACACTCTACACTTTACACTTTACACTCCTCACTCCACACTTTACACTCCACACTTCACACTTTACACTCCACGCTTTACACCCCACTTTCCGCACTTTACACTCCACACTTTACACTTTACACTCCACACTCCACACTTTGCACTTTACACTCTACGCACGACACTCCCCACTTTACACTTTACACTCCGCACTCTACACTTTACACTTCACACTCTACACTTTACGCGCTACACTTTACACTTTACTCTCCACACTTTACACTTTACACTCCTCACTCCACACTTTAAACTCCACACTCCACGCTTTGCACTCAACCGTCTTTTGCATTCAACAGTCTACATTGCACTAGTACGGTAACAGGGGAAAATGCAGACTGTTCAAACAGACTTTACACTCTACACTTTACACTCTACACTTTACACTTTGCACTCCGCACTTTGCACTTTTCACTTTACACTCCACACTCGGCACTTTACACTCCACACTTTTCACTTTACACTCCACACTTTGCACTCTACACTCTACGACACTCCCCACTTTACACTTTACACTCCGCACTCTACACTCCACACTCTACACTTCACACTCTACACTTTACACTCTACACTTTACACTTTACACACTACACTCCACACTTTACACTTTACACTACTCACTCCACACTTGGCACTGCACCGTCTTTTGCATTCAACAGTCTACATTGCACTTGTACGGTACCAGGGGAAAAATGCAGACTGCATTCGGGTTCGTGGACTGCGTCTTGATTTTTTTGAAGGGTGCTTTCAGAACTCCAAGGTGGCGCAAGCTCTGCCATATTGATGCAGTCCTTTGGACTAGATGGCGAGATGGTACCTGATTTCAGTGCGGTTGATCAATTGTACTCCTCGTTGAGGCATGGGAAGAATATATCCTCCATTTTGGGTGATAATATCCCCATGATTTTGGGGATAATAGCCAGATGTCAGCGGTTTTTTTCTATCCTTTTTTCTTCGAAATTCCAGTGAGTTCGTAGCCAAACTCACCCTGAATAATGACGGGTAGGGCGTCGGCAAAGAGATCTCTCCCACAATTGGTTTAAGGGAAAATCTGCAGGAAACCCCTATGGCCCTATAATGTGCTAAACCCAATAATGTACATACCATTTGGGATGACATTTACCAACCCATCGGGATGGTTTATAAATGTTTATAATTGGGTTTACCAGAGTGATTTTCCCTTTAATAAATCCATTGACTGATGATGATGATGATGATGATCATGTTGATCATGATGATGATGATGGTGGTGGTGGTGGTGATGATGATGATGGTGATGAAGATGATGATGATGATGGTGATGATGATGATGATTATGATGATGAAAATTATGTTGATGATACTGATGATACTGATGATGATGATCATGATCATGGTGATGATGAGGTACATATACAGATGCATGCACAGATACATATACATATACATAAACATATACACATATATATATATATATATGAGTACCTATACATATACATATACATATACATTCACATTCACATATACATATACATTTACATATACATATACATATACATTCACATTCACATATACATATACATTTACATATACATATCCATATACCTATACATATACATTTACATTTTTACATTTCACATATACATATACATATACATTTTACATTTTCATTTGCCTATAAAAACATTTTACAAATACAAATACACATGCATATACATATACATATACATATCATGAACTGCTATGAATTTACCGCTGTTGACTTGGGTCATTCTGATTGAATTCTGTGGAAGGTTGGCAAGGTGGCAGAGGTGTTCCGTTGATTCGGAGAGGGGGTTCTCGGTTTTTTTTGTAATTTCGGGGCACTGCTTGATAGTTAATAAATAGTGGATGACCCGAACTATCCCAAATTTGTCAATATATATATATAATATAGTTATAAATATATATATATACATATATATGCACTAAAAAATCTTCAATGCAGCTATACAAATTGACTTGCTTGGTTTTTGTTCTCCAACTTAGGGACTTAGATCAGATGACCAGATGATCCCAATGGATCTTCATATCGGGGCTCAAGGGCAATCTGAGGTGCTTCTGGCGTGGTATTCCCTGATCCAGCACTTGCTGTTAGATGATTCCACGCCAGATGACGAGAGCACATATGATGTGATTACAAGACTCAGGCGATCCGAAGAAGGTTCCTTGGATTTGAGGAATGTACAATCAACCATCAATCATTCCAATGCTAAACCACCAATTGGGGGTGGTTTATACAAACCAATTTCAACCAATTCTGGTTAAATTGGAGATGGCTTACCTTGGGTTTGCCAAATTATATTGGTTTACCTGAAAATAGCAGGAAATTATATTGGATGATATTTGGAGGTAAAAACCAGGGTTTCTTGTAGTTTCCCTGAAATCAATCCATTGGAATAGCACTTGTGGTGAAATGTGGCACCCCAAACAAATGATGACTCATGAGTCGCTCTGAGTGGTGAGATATTCCCACGTTCAAACCCATTTATTTAATGTCTAGCTTCAGACCAAACCCATCGCCAGCTTGAGGTTTCTTCTACGGTTTCAACGATCTTATGGCTGGTTTCGATTATCGAACCTACAAAGAAATGCCGCAGGGCCATGATGCCAAGAATGTGGAACCGATCCGTGTGCACCATCGCGACTGTTTCTTAAAATCCTATTCCGCCAATGACTTTGGCAGCTCAGCTAAAAACTTCGCAGTCGAATCTCATCACGTCGTCCAATTTTTGGGCGTTCGGAAGATGAGTTGGGCACGGGAAATTGCAGTGATGGATTTTGTGGGTTTCGATACTTGGCAGATCATGAACCATGTGTTGTGTATGGCCTAGGTCGGGAAAACGTCCCCATCTTCATTCGAAGCGAAAGAACTTGTGTAACTTGTGTTGAGGCAGTTGTGAGGGTCGACAATGCCAAGTAGTCAGACCATGTTAGACCCTTGATCCTGTGCTGGTCGGCATTGGACCATGTGGACCCCCGGCCAGTGAAACCCCTGAACTCTAAGATCTCTAAGGTCTGAGTGAAGAGAAGTTCCGAGAGTTGGTCGACATCATGTCCCTTGGATTCCCTTGGGTTATAATCAAAGGAAGTTGGGAGGCAATACTTCCGTGTTACGGACAAATAGAATTCTGAGATTTGAAATGATGAAGGGCGGTAGATCGTATAACAATACATAACATATCAATACATAACAAAAGAATAAGAAGCGGTGGAATTGACCTTGATGAAGGGTGCTGACAATGACGGGGTGGGGACGATGGGAAGTGGTGACGATGGGAAGTGGTGACGATGGGAAGTGGTGACGATGGGAAGGGGTGACGATGGGAAGTGGTGAGGAAGGGAAGTGGTGCGGAAGGGAAGTGGTGACGATGGGAAGTGGTGAGGAAGGGAAGTGGTGAAGAAGGGAAGTGATGATGAAGGGGAGTGGTGAGGAAGGGAAGTGGTGAGGAAGGGAAGTGGTGACGATGGGGAGTGGTGAGGAAGGGAAGTGGTGAAGAAGGGAAGTGATGATGAAGGGGAGTGGTGAGGAAGGGAAGTGGTGAGGAAGGGAAGTGGCGACGAAGGTAAGTGGTGAGTTCGGAAGGAAGCCGGAGCATGAAACCTTGTGTTTTTCCGTGTAAAGGTGCGGCTGCGGTCGTTTCATGCGCGAATTGTTCCTCCTATGTGTTTTGCAACGAGTGGTTGTGTCTGCGTGTGTCGTTCTATGCGGTTTTTGAATCTCTGGTTGCAGATTGCATTGGAATGGCTGCTTCATTGTCGTCATTTGATGTTGCCACGTGCGTAGTAGATAGGTGCGGGTTTGCCACGGGATGTTGCGAAACGCATTGTAATGGCTGCATGAATATTGCATGGGCTATGTTTTGGGGAGGAAGCCGGAGCACGAAACCTTGCGTTTTTCCGTGTAAAGTGGCTGCAGCCGGCGATGAAAGGTACCTCGTGTGTGCGGCGGGCGCGGCTGCGGTCGTTTCATGCGCGAATTGTTCCTCCTATGTGTTTTGCAACGAGTGGTTGTGTCTGCGTGTGTCGTTCTATGCGGTTTTTGAATCTCTGGTTGCAGATTGCATTGGAATGGCTGCTTGATTGTCGTGATTTGATGTTGCCACGTGCGTAGATAGGTGTAGGTTTGCTATGGGATGCTGTGAAACGCATTGTAATGGCTGGATGAATGTTGCATGGGCTGTGTTTTGGGGAGGAAGCTGTGTAATATAATATATAATAAGAGTGATAATAATAATAAAATAATAATAATAATATAATAATAATAACAATAATAATAGTAGGCATATGCATGATAATATGGGTTTGGAGACATAGTGGGATTGTTCATCGGAATGTATCCTTTGATCATCAAACATGGCTATCAGAAATCCGTGGCCCACATCCACAGTGTTCTTGGCTCGCCAGAGGTTTCTTGGCTCGCCATCCACATCTTGTTGGTGAAGCCCCCATGTTGTGTGACACCCCCCATGGGTACCTCTGAGAATAAAAAACGGGTATATCGATCCCTTGGATGACCATCCCCCAATATATTCTCCAATTTTTGATTAAAATTTATTTAGTCAAAATTATATTATATATTTGGTTGTTATCCATGATTTCATGCCATTCAATCACAATTTTTCGTTCGTTTTATATCGCATTGAATCACCATGGCACTGGAGGGCACTGGCTCGGCCCCGCATGATGGCAGTCCACCCGGACGCGAGGGTCCGGCAGGTCATTCTTCATCTCCCGGACGCTCTTTGCCACGAATCAGCTGGCGACGTTGCTCCTGTTACAGGCGCAGAAACCCTCGGTTTTGTGGAGGAAAACTGAGAATCGTTCTCAAGGATGTGAGAAAACATGAAGTTCTAAACCTCTGGATTTGGGTGTTACCCTATGTTCAACAACCATTCTGAGTTGTGAATATGATGGTGAATTAGCATATAAATGATGGTACCATATGGCCGAATCATGTAGTATCATGTTAATGAAGGAAATCAATATAGATAAATGAATGATAGGAAACAAACAGGGAAATGATCGTACAATGGCAAATGATGTACCAAGGAGCCGCAAGCTATGTTTTCCATAACTTGTGACATCATTCGATTCGAGGTGTTCATAGACATGAAAATGGGAGAACTTGCAGGAACAGCCCATGTTTGACGTGAAAAAACCATGGCATCCCGTAGATTTTTCCTTAAAGCAGTCCATTGAAATTGGATTCTAAATGCAACAGCAGCATTTTGAGTCCCAGCACTGGCCCAGCACGGATAAATGTTGAGTATAATATAATTTTGGTCGTTTATTATCACTCTTTGGGGGAGTACCTCCAATCTTCAATCAACCGTGGTCTATGAATCAGGGGTTGGCATGATCATGTTTGACTGCTTGATTGCATATAATATTTATAATCATATAAAATATATAACAATTTTATACACATACTGTGGATGGACGAATTCCTGCACCACCTTGGATGGTAAACACATTACACATAATGATGGGATAAGCCATGATAAAGCATTTATCAACTGGTGCAGGATTTCGCAACCATCCACTGTATGATCCCAATATATTTTTAACATATCCCTGGACGATGGCAGGCCAGTCTTCCCTTGATTGTGGGACGGCTCTTCACCGATGAGCTCTTTGGTACCTTTGGATGGGGTTGTGGTGACCAAAATTAGATAGAAGTGTCTAAAATCCGATTCAAAAATAGTGATGATTCTTACTTTTCTGCCTTCTTGATCCTTCTTGTATGTTATACTACATATATGTATGAATATGTACATATATAATATATATATATATGTATGTATATATATATGTATATGTGTGTATCTATCTATATATACCCTTTGGCACTCCAAAATGGCAAGGGAAAATCTTGCATAGATGATATTCCCATCTATAATTCTCCGTTGATCCCGAATTTGCCAGCCATGTTTGATTACAGGACGGTGTCTATGTGTAATATATATATATATATATATACGTAGTGTACATATTCTAGTATAATGTACAATCTTGTATTGTGATGCTAGAGCATTTATGCCAATACTTCCTATTGATTATAATGCTAGTCAACTTAGACAACATATACGATATATCATGATATATTTGATTTTATATGTACTATACTATAATATGTACATTCAATACTATAAAAAGATACTGTAGATAGACATCATCCTATTGATCTTCCAGGCAAGCAGCATCTCTTTTCAGTGCTGAATTTTGCCAAGATGGTCACAGATCAATTGAGGTGCCAGGAGTGGATAAATCGCCGGATGAAACATTGGAAACATCCCAAGCGAAATTGTAGAATTTGTTTTGGTAAAAATGAAGATATTGATCCAGAAACGTCAATATGGATCCGGATGGCAGGGATGAAATGGGTGAGTAAATTGGTCACAGCAAATCAAGAAAAATATAAAAATGGAGGGATGAAATGGGACATAGTTGATGTGAGAAGCAGATGTGAGAACCCCCCAACAATGAGTATCTTGAACCCCCCAACATGGGTTTATGATGTTTATGGATAGAGCAGATCTCAACCACCAACAACCACTACTGAGGACGATTCTCAAGGCATCCGAAGGTCAAGATTTCGAAGTTCGCTCCGGACCTTGAAGATATTAACCCAAAATTATGACTGCGAAGTCCCCAGACAAGTGGTTTTTTTTTTTGTTTGAAGAGTTTTTCAAGAGTGGAGTTTGAAATTCCTCCCTTTGGATTTTTGGATTGCAGTTTCAACCTCTCGTTCTTGGCATACCATGGCATACCTGTCTTAGTTCTTGAAAGAACTACAAGCCTTGATGTTGAAGTTCAGTGCGCCACGTGCAGGTATCAGACAGACGAAATCAAAACTATTCTGCTGGACGGCTGGCAGAGCAATCGTCGCCATGAGAAAAATTCCACCTGGTGTAATCTGGGGCCGCTGGACAATTTCCGCTTGGCGATGCAAGCGAAAAAGGAGACACGTTAAAGTCTGTTCGTATCCGGTAGTTGGGGGAGCAAACGATATAGGTATCCAGCTTTAGGTATCCATATATATATATCCATATATATATTATATTACATATATATATATATATATATTATCCATGTATTATATATATTATATTATATTACATATCCATATACATATATATATATCCACATTTCATGGAGCTACTCAGAGTTCCCCATAGATAGTTTATAGCCTGGCCGGCATCCCAAGAGGCTGGTGATCCTTGGGGAAAAAAACAAGACCCGTGGGTATATAATACAGCTAACAAACATTAATGAAGATTTTAATATAGACGTTGATAATCTATGTATATTATAATCTTCGTTAACCATATATCAATATATTATCTATTAGTGATTATCTAATATAATAAACTCCATTAACCATAGATTATCATAGACATTGATATATATATATATAGTTTCACAGATATATCCACCATGCATCATACTTAACACTTAAAAAACCCACCACTGGGAAGGTCATCCCGTGTTTCCTGAATTGTTCCTTTCAGGACATCGACAAACTGCTCTATGACATTGACTTCCTGGTGGAACAGATGCGGGAGCAGGTGGGGGTGTGAAAAATGTTGGGATCCCAACAACTTCAACTCGTGGGGAAAATATGGGAAACGATTGGTTAATGATGGTGAATCAATGATGATAATGTGTACTTCATGGGATAGTTTATGGGATACCCTCAAAAATACTCAAACGTGGCTAGCTGGCAAAATCCCGAATTAAATGGAGGTTTATAGCTAGGAAAATCAACTCTAAATGACGGATACCCTCTGGTGAACTAACATAGCAATGGAAAATGGCTATTTATAGTGGATTTTCCCATTAAGAATGGTGATTTTCCATTGCTATGTTAGTTCACCAGAGGGTATTCCAGCAAGCCATAATTGCCAAAGGGTATCAAGCATTGGGGGGGCTATGAATCATCCCAACTAGAGGTATACCATGATATATCATATTGAACCACAACTTGGGGGTGGTCTATTAGTGGTTCCCCTCATGGTTTGGAAAATCCCTAGAAAATGAGCTTGCCTTGAACTATGGGACCCCAAAGTCATCCCACTTTGATCTCAAAATGGGCGGAAAAAAAACATGATTTCGGGGCACCCAACTTTAGGTTTCATGGTTACCCTCTGGTAAACGTTTACATAACTATGGAAAATCACCATGTTTAATAGGTAAATCAACTATAAATTGCAATTTTCACTAGCAAACTGTTAGTCATTACCAGAGGGTAAATCTCCATGCGTGAACGCCAGGTGGCCAAGACCCAAATCTCGCGCCTGGCCGGGATAGAGGAGGTGTGGCGCTTGAATATAGAAATGTACGCCTCACTTTGGACCAGCGTGTCGGATCTTTGGCGAGTGATGAGAATGGGTTGGAATGGGATTGAATTGGATCATATATAGTGATGATGATTGTGATGATGATGATGATGATGATGATGATGATGATGAGTATGAGTGATGGAAATCATGGTTTGGTGATTTGTGTGTTCCAAAGTGGGGATATAATAGGGTCTTTGTTGGGATTTAACTTTTTTTTGAGAATAGAATGAAAAACAATCGAACGACAAACAAGGACAACTAATAGGACTTAATGGGGTTTGATGTGGTTTAATGGGATAATTGTGGGATGAGAACTCGATTTAGTCGAACTAACTGTTGAATTTCCTATGCTGTTCGAACTGGATGAATGGGGACGTGTTGAACCAGGCATGATCAAACATGGGGAATTTTAGCAGAAAGATTGCGTTTAAACAAAAATGGGGATATGACTGAAAACATGATATTTGGTGTTGTCTGAATATGGGTCATTTTTCCTCACGGATTGATTGGGGAAGTACCACATTTTGGGACAAACTTGTTCTGGCTGGGGTTGGAACCAACAAGCACGTTATTATCAGGATACTTTTTTTGACTGTATCTTGAATGATTTTGAGCAGTTGACTTCTTTCATAGTTTCTTTGGCCCACAATTCAATCAGCCAATACCAGACTCATGAGCTGCATGGCGTGACCCTTCTCGTTTGATGTAAAGTGGGGAGCCATGAAAACCATCGGTTTTCCAGAATGTCAATCAGACCTATGCATGTTGGGTACCCAGTTAGAAAATCTGCCAGGGGATTTTCGACAGTTTCTCTCAAACTGGGATGCCAAGTCAACTCATAGCGTGAATTCTGTGTTTCAATGGCATCCCAATCGGGGCCCATCCTTCATTTCTGGTCCCAAGAGTGTGAGTCACCCGGGAGTCCGTCCATAGGAATGGCAAAACATTGAGATCTCGCAAAGCAGCCAGGAGTGGTACGGGCTCGGGGAGACAGGAGTTGATTCATCACCTTTCTGGGTAAATTACACAGAACGACCTATGATTCAATGGCAGAAAGTAAGGGGAATCAAAATGGCTTCCCGTTAGGTGGCGGAAATATGCGGAAATATATGATTTTGCGTTGCCCAGACGTTTGAACTTCATGTTTGCGGGTAAAAGCAAGAAACATCTAAAAACAATAGTTTCGCACTTTGAAATCCCAAAAAGTGCTCCGTGTATATCCATTATCCATATGTTTGCCAGAAACCACTATGTATTTATCTTATTCCCCAAATAAGTCATGTTTTTTTGCAGCTAGTCGCATACCTCGTACATATACCATCATTACCCCGGCCACATGGCGGCAGGACATTTCAAGTGCGCCGGAATGGAAACAGCAATGGCTTCAGCACAACCAGAAACTTTCCGCCCCCCTGCGACCGACTGGATTGCCTCCAGCAGAAATTTCAGTCTGAGCCCGGAAAGCGGAAAGGGTTGGGGGAAAAACTTATGGGTTCGACATGGTTGGACATTCCATTCTTCCCAACTCAACCAATCCTTGAGTTTGGATATGTTTGGATATTGTTGTTTGTCCTTCTCAATGTCACCAGTGCCGGCAAAAATTCACCGCTGCCTAGCGCTCCAAAGTCGGGCGGGGCTGTGCTGATGGCGGTACAGGATGGTACAGGGACGCGAGTTTGGTTTTTGACCGTTCAGATGTGGGGATGGCTCAAAATTTAGTACTGAGAGAATCTGGAAAAGACATGACAAGACCAGTCGGGAGGGTCCATGAGTCAGTCTATTGGTACTTAATTCCTCTATTGGTACCCTCTGGTAAACTAACATAGCTATGGAAAATCACCATTTTTAATGGGAAAATCCACTATTAATGGCCATTTTCAATAGCTACGTTAAATTACCAGAGGGTACTTAATTTCCCAGCCACAGCATGCTATAGCCATGTGTTTGCGCAAAATCTCTGATGGGTCGGTTTCGCTCGGACTTTTTCTGTGATAAATGTCAATGATATGTCAATGATAAGCCTGCCATTAAAAATGGGATGGTTTTTACCAGCCACGGATTGGGGATAATTTGTGGCCGGCTGCGGGATGCTGCAATCAGAGCTCAAATGCTGATGGCAAATAGTATTTTGGAATATGCATACATTTTGTCAATCTTAGAAAATCATACGCAAATAATCGCAAATACAAAACAGGTTTGTTTCCATCGTATTATGAATATCCCTTAATATCCCAGAATGTAGATGAAGGGACAAGTATTTGCAGCAACATGCAGCAAACTCATTGTATAATCATATATATAAATATGTAATCATATATATATAACATATGATTATTATATACATTTATATACACACAATATACATATAATCATATAAAATCATATAAATATGTAATCATATATATATATAACATATGATTATTATATACATTTATATACACAATATACATATAATCATATAAAATCATTTAAATATGTAATCATAAATATATATATATAACATATGATTATTATATAAATTTATACACACACACAATATACATATAATCATATAAAATCATTTAAATATGTAATCATAAATATATACATATATATATATATAACATATGATTATTATATACATTTATATACACACACAATATACATATAATCATATAAAATCATGTAAATATGTAATCATAAATATATATATCTATATATAACATATGATTATTATATACATTTATATACACACAATATACATATAATCATATAAAATCATACAAATTTGTAATCATCAATATATATATAACATATGATTACATACATTTATATACACACACTATACATATAATAATATAAAATCATTTAAATATGTAATCATAAATAAATATATATATATATAACATATGATTATTATCATTTTAAATCATATGATGCTTTATGCTGTCAATCGAGTGTTTTTTTTCGTTCCTTGATTGATAGGTGGCAGTTGAGACATGGCGACATGGCCCTCTGGCCACCAACACCAACACGCCGCAGCGACTGTACAAAACATCGGAGAAATGTCGCGATGAAAAACGTTGCGACTGATTTGAAAAAACGGTTTAGCAACATGGCAACATGGCCAAGCCGCCCAAGCCGCTGTGAAAATGCTGTGAGTAGAGTGGGTGCCACCATGGGGAAACCATGGGTCTTTTTAAATAAAGGATGCACATGTCCAAAAGTCAATGAAAGTTGGGGACCGTAAAGTATAGTGGGGGAACCAAGCTGCGTTGCGTGTTTTCCCTGTACTGAACTGCATCTAGTATATTCCATCCCAAAGGGAAGGCGAAGCCACCAACCAGCAAGGGATTGGGGACCTCCCAGAGACAGAACAGAAAAAATAACCGGACCAAAGACTCCAAAAATTGGATCGTTCTTCAAAAACTGTTGCATAGTGATTTGCGGATGGGTCAAGTTAACATAAGTTGACTATGAACCTATGAAATGACCATATGACTGGGCGAATCGCCACAAATCCCAGCGATGACCGGGTACCAGGGACGTCACTTCCAAATCATCCAAGTCGAGTGATGACCATGACTTAGCATTGAAAGAACCATGGTTAAAATTGTGTTTTTCCCATTTTAAGACACCCCCAAATGATGAAATGTGGGGATGCTTCCCGATTGACTCTCATGTTTTTTTGGGGATGGTTTGATCATAACTTCCCCAGCATGTTTAAGACTTTGAGGTGCCCCAGATGAAGAAATCCAAGTTTCGTTAGGTATGTTCCACTATATTATGTCTATACTATATGTATAATTGACAACATATAACATCATATAGTATCATATAGTTGTACTATTTATGTATTCTATTTTTTCATTTGTATTTATTTTATTTACTTATTTATTTGTAATAAATATGTAAATCGTAATATATCTATGTAGATATACATAGACGTATGCATTCCATATGAGATGGTTCTCCTTATTTCTCCTTCCCCATGAAATCCGCAGAAAATGCCCAGCATTTTTGATGCCCAACAGGTGGAGAAGATTCGAAGTCTGTGTAAGGACTTCTCCCGTCACGGTGAGTGGTTAACCCGAGCGGTGTAAGCGGTGTAAGCGGTGTAAGCGGTGTAAGCGTTATCCCGAGTTAATTTGCAGATGAATGGGCCAGATCTGCTATACTCAGCGACTTAACATATATATGGAAAAAGTGAAAAGATGTTGTTTTCTAGGGAAATCATTTGTAGTTTTCCGTTTATATATATATACATATATATGGCTCCGACACGGTACTCTTAATTTACTGGAAGGTCAATGGGATTGGTTGTTTGCAACCTGCCAAGCTTTGGTGATTCATCAAGCAAGCAATATTTCCGACACGGGATTCCAAAATAGAGTGTTTCAACTTGTTGTTGTTGTTGTTGTTGTTGTTGTGTTTCGTTTTCTTAGTATTGTTACTATTTTTTCATGTTACATGTGTGTTGATTGTTTTTTCTTTTTTCATTTTTCTTCAGTTCATTTCCCCCTTGCGTTATTCTCACAAGTGTTTTTGTTTGTGCTGTTTTGCTCTTGTTTCTTATCGTTGCTGTTACAGTTGTGGTTGCTGTTGTTGCTGTTGTTTGTTGCTGTTGTTTGTTGCTGTTGATTGTTGCTGTTGTTTGTTGCTGTTGTTGCTGTTGTTGTTGTCGTCGTCGTTTCTATCCATTTCTAAAATAAAAAGCGGGATGACTACCGATTAACCATATTGTTCAGATGGTTGAAAGACCAATATTACTGTATGCAAAAAATATGAAAGCATGGTGAATGAGGGTAAATTGTGGCGGGTTCTGGTGACTTGTAGCCCATTTTTGAAAAAAAAAGTATGTGTATATATATACATATGTATAAATATATATATATGTATATATATATGTATATATATATATGTATATATATATATGTATATATATATATGTATATATATATATATATGTATATATATATACATGTATTTATATATATATGGATACATATATATATATATACATATAAAACGTTTTGAAGGTGATTCACGCTTCTTATCATTTGTGGCAGAAGTATGTTTGCATTGGGCTAGTAATTCTTGGCGAAATGGGTTCCCATGTCACACAGAGACAATTTCACGTCGCAATGTAACTGGCCCAAATCCCAAGAAGCCTGGGCTAGCCTTATATAGTAATACTATACACATATTTATATAATGACAATATTACTATAGTATTATAGTATTACTATATATTATATTCATATTCATAGTAATCTATATATATATATAGTATGCACATATTACAATGACAATACTGGTTCCATGGAAAATCACACAGCAAGTTCCAGTTGCAGGTCCCATGATTTCACAGGACCTGCCCGAAGATTGGGACGATGTGAAGTTGCTGCGTGCCTCGACTGGGGATTTAAACAGCAACTTTTTTGGGATTGAATGGGATTTGGTAGGGATACAACAGGATGTAGAACAAACCAATAATGATTTGGCAATGATTTGTGTTTGCCTTTAAATTTAACTCGATGTTTTTTGTTGTTGGTTTCAAAAATGGTGTATGTTCAACCACAAAAAAATTGAATGCTCCCCAAATGATCTGGGGGGATGAAGCCACCAGTAGTTTGTCTCAACGATTTCGGCCATGGAGATGGTGGTTGAAATCACCTAAGGTTTTTTTTTTCGGACCGCAGTGGTCTTCACCAAACATGGAGGATTTCAGTCATTCTTCTGTTATCAGAATCCTACCATGACCTTGAAGATGGTTCATCAAGGATCTGAATGTGGGTGTTGGCCTAGGATATGCGATCCAGCATCCTGATGCTCCAGAAGAAGCAGCAAAGAATGCGCCCTTGGCAACGATTGGTGCGTGTTTCACCTGTGGGAATGTTGATGCCGACTGACCATATGTAATATGTAGATACATATATATATATTTAAATACATATATATATATATATACAAATACATATATATATATACATGTATATAGATATGTGTATATATATATATATGACACGTCCAACCACCAGTGATCACCTTACTTTATTATGACAATAACATTGGAATATAAACTATTTGGCGATGGGTTTGGCTACCTATGAGACTATCGCTGATGATGCCAGGGTTTGGTTGGAAAATTTCCTCTTCTTTGAGCCTTGGCAAATGATTGAAGCACTTGAAATGATGATTTGAATGGTCTTTGAATGTGTATAGACTGTATAGTGTGGCAAACCCATTAAAATCCCCATGGGTTTAAGGCTTCCGAGACTCTGCAAATGGTAGGATTGGGTGTTTATTGTTGCATTTGCCATATTGGTCAAAGACCTCTAGGATGCCTGCAGGTGAAGGAAGTCCTAGAATGGCGACAAGGTGGAACCGAAACCGAGTGAATGGTGTTGCCTGTGGTTGACTGCGGGGCAGTTCTTGTCTCAGTTGCTGTGGAATTCAGAGAAAAATCTGAGGT